ATGAATATAGCGTTCTAGAATTTCTGTACCGATCTATGGGCTCATCGGAGTAAGCCATATGCGTAGATGCACTGGACCGGCGCTTTAATGCGCCGCTTACAGACGGCAAATCACCATATGCGGCTCACCTATAGGATGGCATTATCAAGATTATTCTCTTGATGATTATTGTCTATATAGTTGTATTTCTCATAGCACAATGGCAATGTACTTTTTTTCAGGCTTCAAAGGTAAACTCCATAAACGCTGAACTAATTGAGGATGACGGCGAACATCATTACAAAGTTCTCAACACTATTGGCGGGGAAAACGGACTTGGGGTAGAGAATCTCACTTGTGCTAGTGTGATCGCTGGGTGAAACGTCAAGGGCGTATGATGACATTATCACAATTTCATTAGTTACGTGTCGAGCGATCGGTATCGGCGCGTACCTCGTGCGTTTAGGCCGGAGAGTGATTCAGGTCGAATCATCGCACATCATCCTTACGGATGCCGCAACACTGAACAAACTACTAGGCTGTGAAGTTTACACATCGAAAAATCCACTGGGTGGCGTTCTGATTATGTACGACATTGAAGTCTCGCGCGTAACGGTTCGTGACGATCTTGAAGGTTGTTATACAATGCTGCGATGGCTTTCATACATGCCTCGCTGCAAAGGGGCCGAATTGCCCATAACTGAAAGCATCGACCCATTCGACCGCGATGTGGTATTCACGCCAACGAAGGCGCCGTACGACCCGCGATGCTTGCTCACCGGACGTAAAAGACCCAATTTACCTGGACTCTGGGAGGGTGCATTCTTTGATCGAGGTCAGTATCGTGCTCAGAATGCACGACGAGTTCTATTTTGCCCCAAATGGTATGAAGGACTAAGCGCAAAATACTTACAACCCTTGCAGACAGCTTCTCCGAAATTATGGCTAACTGGGCTAAGACAGTAGTGGCAGGCCAGGCAAGGCTTGGGGGCATTCTTGTTGGAATAGTGGCCGTTGAGACGCGCACCGCTGAGCTTGCCTATCCAGCTAACCCTCCGAATATAGAGTGAAGCGAAGGTCATCTCTCAGGCAAGTCAGGTGTGGTTCCCAGATTCAGCGTACAAGACCACGCAGACCACTGACGATTTCAATCGCGAGGGCCTCCCGTTATTTGTATTTGCTAACTGGCGTGGTTTCTCCGGTGGCATGAAGGACATGTACGATCAGAGTCTTAAGTTCGGCGCATATATTGTAGACGCACTGCGCAATTATAAACAGCCTGTCATCGTTTATATACTACCGCATGCCGAGTTGCGCGGCGGAGCCTGGGCCGTTGTAGACACCACTTTGAATCCTGCCCAGATAGAGATGTGCGGCGACCCAGATTCGCGGGGTGGCGTACTTAAGCCTGAGGGTACTGTCGAAATCCGTTTGCGAAAAAAGGATCTGATTAAGTCGATGCACCGTTTAGACTCGCGTTGTCGTGATTTGCTGCAGAAAATTGCTATGAGTAAAACAGACAATGCCGAGAAAGCGACTTTCGAGAAAGAGCCGCAGAATCGAGAGGATCAGTTCTGTCAAACGTACTATCAGGTGGCATTAACGTTCGCAGATTTCCACGATAACCCGGTTCGTCGTCCAATGGTCGAAATCGCGTCACATGTTCTATTGGCGAATGCGACGTCTGCTTTTACAAAACAGAATTAAGATGGAAATTTTGTCGACAAGACCAGAGTTGCCAGTTGCCGAGCTAGAGGAAACTCTCCATCAAGGGTTCGTCGAATCACAAGCAACCGGCGCTGCGAAGTTGTGGATCAACGATAAAGCGGTTACGACATGATGTGCTGAACAACTCAATCCTGCACAAGGCAATTCTCTGGTATTAGAGAGTCTCTCGAGAATTAAAAAGAAGGCAGTGATGTTTAAAATGAAGGAGTTACTTAAACGAAGATCTTCTCACGGATGCTGCAGTTTTCCTAGTTCACCAAATGAGCGCTCAACAAAGGGAAAAGCTGACGCTCACAATGAACCTTTTCCAAGGATAGTAGGAATATACCGGCTGCCGATACACATGGTGGATAATGGTAGCTGCGGATGAAATAACCAAAATGACATTTTGTATTAAAGCTGCTTGAGTATTTACTATACTTACCTATAGGGGCTATATATAGGCGTTACAGCATTTTACGGGAAACGAAAACAATCTTATTACATTGGAACATATATTGATGATCGCAATCCGCATAGTCCTGGCGCATCGTAATACCCTTAACGCTGGCAGAAAGTTTTCTCACGTTTTACAAAAAAATAAGAAAAAATAACACTCTGTAACACTAACAAATTGATAAGGATTTTATATGTATATATATATATATAAGAAGTTTATATTCGCGTTGCAGAAAACTGCTACGAATAAAACAGACAATGCCGAGGAAGCGGCTTTCGAGAAAGAGCTGCAGAACAGAGAGGATCAATCGTGCCCAATGTACCATCAGGTGGCATTAACGTTCGCGGATTTGCACGATAACCCAGTTATCATGATGGGGAAAAAGTCATACGCAATATCGTCCTCTGTAGCACTAACAAACTGATAAGACTCACGCAGGTTAATGACGCAGCATGGGACTTAACGGTAAGAACGTGGTACATTTCCCTGCACTGGAAATGGAGCCATTCCCAGTTCGCGTCTCGTCTATGTCTGTGAGACGGCTCAATAATGACATTGAGGTTAACAAACTACGAATGTACTCTTACAAAAAAAAATAAATTAGAGAATAGAAGAAAAGTAATTGAACATCAAACATAGAAGAAACAACAGGAGACGAAGATGCTAAAGCAAGACATGAGTAAACAGGATCTGATCAGCAGCAACGTGAGTATATACGTAAGAGTCTCATATTCGGTCTGGCACGGAAAGTCAGGGGAAGAGGACCTCGCATCGGACCCATTGTGTGGTAATGGTACAGGCATTGGTGCGCGGACCTTTCCCTTTACTTTTGTGCCTCTACCTTTTGGCCCATCTAAGGCCATACGACAATGTCTGAAAAGTAAGGCTTGAAGTTCCAATTAATGTCTGACAAATGAAAAATATCGGAGTAGCGAACCAGGTGTCTTTCGGATAAAATGTCTGACCCTATAGCTGTGACAACAATGAATACGCTTCATTTTTCCAAGGTCATAATCGTGTAACTCCTATTTCCCTAGTTGTAATTATATAACTTTCCATAGGGAAAGAACTGAAGCACAATTTTTAGATTTGCAATTATATCTTGAAATGCTCATTTACGTCTCAAACTACCCATGAACGTTTGACAGACCTTTTTGCCTACTCCCAATGTGCAAGCAAAAATATCGAAGTTTGCGCAACATTTAAATGACGAACGGAAAAGATTAGCTGTCTTTCCGAAAAAATATGTCTAAAAATATCAAAGACAACAATGAATTCAGGTGGTTTTCATACCAACAAGGTCGGCCTGGTGTATGGCTTCTGATCTGAGAACCATGAATGAAGCTGAAAAGCGCGCTAATAAGATTGATAAAACAGGGCTTACGTCAGTCTTGGAACGTAAAAACTGTACAGCAACAGATAGGGAGATTATTTGTCACCTGCTGCTCCGGTGCCGTGTGCTTATATCGAATCATTTTGAATGTATTTATCCAATTATTTATCCAATTATATATCCTAGCATATAAGCATGAGCGTGTTTATCGAAGTTGGTATTTACATGGCATCGGACGTAAGCTGCACATTTAAATCGATAGATATTTCGTTGAGTATTATTTCAGAGGGCTGGCATCGAACGAACTGCACACCAGTACACGCCGTATCGTCACACTGTGACGAAAGTAAATCATTTACCTTGGTGCTGTGTGATAAAGCGTCGTCGAATGCGTTAACTCCGCAGCGCCACATCTGGTAAACAGATCGAATATGGTTCTTTCAATACAAGTAATACAAGGAGGTTAGCCGTCCACACGCATTACTGCGCTGCATAGATACAATTCTGGATAACGGCCGGCCGGCCACCCCTTTGACCAGTTAACGGCTAAGTATTTCAACTAGCATTTTTTGTTAGTATTATATAACTTTTTTACCCTATCGCAGTACGAGAACAAGAACTGTTACTGAAGAGCGAATGATCAGCTGAGCAAATTTCAATTTCAGTAGAAGGGATTCCACTCGGTTAAACGTTGGGAGTCGAAACCATGGCAAATGGTTGTCTTGGCTGTACCGTAGTCACCCGATTGGTCCTGAGCTACTGCTGCAGGCCGATGAGCCACCGCTATCTGCTGTAAGGGTAGGACCTACTTCCGAACGAAGAATAGAACAAGTGATGAGTGGCTGACCGCAAATAGTTAACGGCAAACAGTATTTTCGTCGTTTTGGCGACGTAAAAAGGAGTGGAACGAGTATCGACAAAAGCTCTCATTGGAGTGCATTAATACCAAGAGCCAATAATTAAGTAGAGAAGAGAATATACAGGCACTGAGGTAGCCGCACCTACTTTTGAAGCACCTAGGTATTGTAAAATGCTGCGAAGACAGTGAAAACCAATGGTAACTACAACAACTGCATAGTATATCCGCATAAAGAAAGTGAGCTGTAGGAAAAACAAAAAAAGAGCTAAAATGTAGTGTGCTAGCCGCTGTAGCATGGCAAACTGGCCGTGACGCTTTTGTCCAAATCCTAGCAGGTTGGTTATATTAACCTTTTTTTTAAATAGAAAAAACATTGCAATGCATGAAAGACAAAAAGAAGAAAAAAAAAGAAAGATCTAAAAAAATCAGATTTACCAGTTCACTATTAATTTCTAAGAGGGGTGTTGTGGTGTAGGCGATAACCTTAATAACCGCTCCAAACCTAATGATTTTTTGATGATTTGACGCACTTGCAGTCATGAACTAATAGAATTCTGCTACCAAAAAAACGAAAATAAAATTTTAGGACAACCCTCTTCTTTTTTGAACTTACAAAACTTTAAATTCTGCTAAGTTTACACGAAAGAACACGATTGTAAAAATCTATGTAAAAATAACGTTTATTAAAACATTACCGTCAATTTTAAAAACCCCTAGACCTCACTATCTACAGCATCTGTTCATCTGTTAGTTACTGATAATATATAGTTCTATTTAGAATAATACTAGAAGAAATTGCCACGCGTCATTTTTTTTTCATAGAAAAGCTGGCATTTACCTGCAATCAGTGACAAACGTGAATTAATATAGAGGGTGATACTAACAAAAATGTACATTCTTTTTTCGGTCGGAGGAATGCGTGTGTGCATCTTGTTTCTTTCCTACGCTTTTATCCCGATTCATCTCGTTCTACAAAAGCTCAGTTGTTCCGAAAATGAGCCCATCATATATATATATATTATTTGCCAAACTGTTATTTATAGAGGCACATAAATAAGATTGCCCATTTGGTAACAGTACTCTGTTTCATTTGTTGATTGTTGAAAGCCTAAATAGATTATTTATCGTATTCCAGAAAATATAAAGTCATCTAGATATGTGTATATATCCCACCTTACAGCTGCCTTATGCTGACTATCTCCGATGCAAGCTTTAAAAGATTTAACAGTGCGAGATGGGACAGTGGCCGTATCACACGAACGGTTCTCAGAAAAATGGCACACGTGACCCCATACTAACTGCTTATTTCCTGTTCATCTCGTGCTAACACGGGTCTGTTGACCTATACACTCTTTTGTTATGTACTACTTACTCAACGATACAGTTCTTATCCCCGTTTCACCCCGCGCACCGCCCATACACGAAGATTCGCCCTTCGTATTGAGATGTACCCTACATTCTTTTAACTGTCGAGTAAAACTAAAAAGGCTTTGATCTTGCTAACTAATATTATTACATTAGGTCTCAGTCGGCGTATCTTCTCCGCTCGAACTGCCGGGTATCTTATTGTCGTCTTTGGCTTCAAGGGTCTTCATCGCAAGCATTAGATCGGCTCGCTGTTGAACGCTCATTTGGTTAAGCACGACTACGGCGCCGTCCATGAGTACGAACACCGCGGCATCCATGAGCACATCCTGGTTCTTCTTCACAAGACTTTTCATCTCTAACATGACAGCGTCTCGCTTCATACTACGGATGTTTTCCAACACGAGCGAGTTGCCTCGTTCAGGACTGAGCTGTTCAACAAGCCATTTAGTCACAACCTGATCATTGTCCCAGAGGTAGTTGTTGATTGCGCCCTGCGACTCGAAGAACCAGCGGCGGAAGGTCGATTCCAGCTCGGTTTCCTTCAGCTGAGCCCTCACCGCCATAATTTCTTTCTTCATTTTGTCCTGCAAGAGCAAACGTCGCAGTCTCCAATAAAACACATTACGTGATTTCGACCACGGGACGATATCACGAATAACGTTCTTTTCCATCATACGAACGGGGGTATCGTGTAGGTCCGCGAACGTAAGCGCCACCTGGTGATACATTGGGCACAACTGATTCTCCCGCTCTTGGAGCTCCTTCACTAAGGCAGCCTCTTCCGAACTGCCCTTAATAGCTGCAGCAATCTTCTGCTGTAACTCAGTGCAGCGTGTGTCTAGACGGTGCATGGATTTGATGAGATCCTTTCTACGGAAACGGATTTCGACGGTACCCTCAGGCTCCAGTACGCCACCGCGCGAGTCAGGGTCTGCATACATCTCCATTTGGGCAGGGTTGATAGAGGCGTCCACAACGGCCCAGGCTCCACCACGGAGCTCACCGTACGGCGGTATGTACACAATCACAGGTTGTTTATAGCAGCGCAGTGCGTCGACAATATAGGCGCCGAATTTTAGGACCTGATCGTACATGTCCTTCATACCACCGGAGAAGCCACGCCAATTAGCAAATACAAATAACGGGAGGCCCTCGCGATTGAAGTCGTTAATGGCCTGGGCGGTCTTGTACGCTGAATCGGGGAACCAGACTTGACCGGCCTGTGATATGATTTTAGCCTCAGAATCGAGATTGGCTGGATCAGCTGGGTAGGCAAGCTCCACTGTGCGTGTTTCGACGGCTACTACCCCTACTGGAATACCGCCGAGTCTCGCTCGACCAGCCACCACCGTTTTGGCCCAGTTAGCCATAATTTCAGAGAAACTACCTGTAAAGTTCATGGAAGTTCAAAAGTTCTAATTGACTGTGATGACACCTGAATCCATGACATTTAAACCCGTAATTCCCTTTATGGTGTGTATGTCTTTAATACGCTACATTATACATTATATATAGAAGTCATTTCGTATGCACACAGAAATACATAGCATTGCACACGTAATAATAAGGTACCGCGAACTGGATTTTGCTTACCTCTGTCAAAGAATCCGTCCTCCCAGAAGCCAGGTAAGTTGGGACTCTCGCGTCCAGCGAGTAGCCATCGCGGGTCATACGGGGCCTTCGTCGGCGTAAACACAACATCTCGCTCGAATGGGTCCATACTCTCGAGGATTGGCAGGTCACCTCCCTTAATTCGAGGCATATACGATAGCCACTTCAACATTGTGTAACAACCCTCAAGATCGTCGTGTACCGTAACATGCGAAACTCCATTCTCGTGCATAATCTGAATGCCACCCAATTGATTGTTCGATGTGTAAACTTCACGGCCTAGTAGCTTATTCAGTGCACCAGCTCCCGTAAGGATAATGTGCGACGATTCGAGTTGAATTACCCGCTGTCCTAGACGCACAAGGTATGCACCGATTCCGATACCTCGGCAAGTTACCAATGAAATAGTGACAATGTCTTCATAAGCTCGCGATGTCTCTCCAGCGATCATACCGGCATGAGCCAGATTTTCAACACCAAGTCCGTTCTCCTTGCCGATGATATTCGTAATCTTGTAACGAGATTCACTATCATCCTCGATTAGTTCGGCGTTTACAGAGTTCAATGCTGCAACCTGCACGCAAGAAAAACAATTTTTTAGCTCCTCTTTTGCCCTAGTACCTGATACATGTGCATTCCTTTTTTTCCTAATCTTCCAGTCGAATATCTTCCTCTGTCGGAAATACTCTTTGATGGATTGATGATAAATATCCACCTTCACTGATTTTTTTTTTGACTATGCACGTTATCACCTCTGTATTACCTGAGAGTTACTGACAACTAGAAACACCCAATAGCTCCTTGACCGGTCAATTGTAGAGGACATCGTGGTATACCCGAACGAAAGATAATTACTCAAGAAAACACAGAAAGTGGTATTAACTAGTCTGCTGCATGCAGGCAATAGAAGGAGTCCTCATGACAGCTTAGCAGGTAACGCATTTTCTTGCTAAACTTAGAAAGCCGGGCATAATAGGTACACTTCGTCTGATGGAATGCCCAACGGTGATACCGGACGTAAAATCTCGAAACATGTAAAAAATAGGAGGAGCCAAAGTGGCTTAAAACCGTGGCTAAAGGTGGCTTAAATTTCATATCGATTTTCGCCCCCCTGCGTTATACCCGCTAAGATAGAACATCAAACACAGTGCCGAATTAGCAAACGACCACTTATATATCTTTTAGCGTATCTGTAAATACGCGCTGTAGTTATAAGAATACTGGCAATGCTTTACACTTAGACTACCTAAAGGTAGTGAAAAGAACCCACCTTTCTATAGTTCTCTGGCGTAAGGTATAGGTACTTATAGCCTTTGTCAGGGATAGCGGGATCGTACCAGGCCACATTGAATAGATGCTTAATTTCTTCCGCAAGACCAATTTTGGCTCCGGAGTTAGCTGAAATATACAGGCGTGGAATTCCTAACTGGCGAGCCCGTTCAGATGCCTTGCAAAACAGAATATCTTCCTGCGGGCCAAAAGTTCCCATAAGAAATGTTATGTCATTAGAAATGATAATTACGTCCCGCCCATCAGGATACTCGGGGGTGAACAGACGCATTTTCCAAGCCACCATACCAATGTCATTTTCTCCTGCAAGACGCTTCATCTCGACAAGCTTGTTTTCCGAATCAAGGACCAGCTCAACGGTTTCTATGGGGTTGCTAGGCACCTCCATCTCTGGGTGCATAGCACAATGTTCCTCCCATAGACGATGCAGCGCCTGTTTGAACATGTCGGGGAAGTCATATACGTATGTTGTGCCGTTGGACTGAGCCTGGAAACGCTTGTGTTGCAGGTAATCTTTCGTTACATACGGGGCAGATATTGGTAGGCCGTGGAAGGTACCTTGTTTAGTACCTGGCCAGGACTCGAATCGCATAATGCCCATATGCGGATCTATGACCTCCTTGTACACGTAGATATCAAGGAAATATCCACTGTCGTTGGCAAGAAATAGGCGCACGGGCACGCATTTGCCTCCTGAGCCTGGAAGTCGAATGCTCATCTTTACTTCAGCATGAAGAACGCGCAGCTTCCACAGGCGAGGCCCATAACGCAGCACCATTAGACGGACATTCTCGGCAATCTTTAGTGGGTCCATGGTAACTTTGGGTAAGAAGTTGAGGAAAATGTGGTTGCAGTCCGTTTTTTTGGCGAACGGATGGGTGAAGGCCACTTCTAATTCATCCATTGCCTCAAGTAAAAGCCGTTCACCTTCATTCTGCATATACTCGTAGGAGGCCTCTTTTGTAATCAGGTCCGAGTGCCGGATAATTGCCCTAATGAAGAACCGATAATCGGTAACAGCCTGTCCTTTGGGTACCTTGGCCTTGCCCAAATATAAATGCATCTTTAGAGCTGCAGTGGGAATAGCTTCCAAATCGTAGTTTCGTAAACGGTTTATTTCCAACTGGAACGCTAACGCCGGTTCCAGATGCCGATAAATGGCATCCTCACGGAAGTTATCTCGATGTCTGTAATGATGATATCAGATAGTTAGTCTCATCTATTTATCTTAGGCTACTTAAAAATACTAAGGCGGAGACAGCAAGGATAATGAAATAATAATAACAATAATAGCAATAAAAAATAAACAATAACAAGAACATTTGGACCTATAATCCTACCTGAAAGTAAAATACTGTGGGAATTTTCCGTTTTGCAGGACAAAGAACGTGATCCTTCGGATCCTGCGCTCCCTGAGGTCATTTTTTCGTGCCTGACAAAACCCGTAAAACTTTTCCTTGAGTTCGGCCTCTGGTTCACCTTCGTGTTTGACGGCCACTGTCACTATATTCATTGGTTCCGAAGGTTCGTTGGAATTTTCGACATTAGCCTCGGACACTGAACCCGAACTTCTATCGCGACCTGTCGAAAATGTGAGTTGTGAAAAAGGCAGCATGAATAAATGGTTTTGCTTAATATACGGCGTTTTGATACTTGAATTACTTTGAATTGAACCTGTTTTTCGAACTTGCACAAGGCGAACTCTCCATCTTTTCGTGTTTTCGCGAATAAGCAATTGCAAGTTTGATCATGTGACACTTCGAATCCTCACATACGACATACTTCCTGTTGAAATATATATATTACATGTACTTCAGCAGCAAGTATATATATATATATATATATTTATTTAGAAAGATTTTATAAGAATATTTGAATTTTATAAAAAATAAATTATATATATATATATATATATAAATTTACCTGAGAATTCTGCTACTGGCGTAAAGTAAAGCAGGTCGAGTGTGTTGTAGAAATCGCTAACGAATTGATCAAAGCTGTTGAATGCTGCCATAACTCCAACTCTCTGCGAATCGAAATCAGGCATGGGCCCGTCCTCCCATACCGTCTTATCTTCCTGCTCTGCGAGGCTGGATAAGCTGCACGATAATCGAGTATTGAAATTAGGATTTGACAAAGGCAATATGTGTCACGCATTTGGCCTTGTGCTGTGTGACGGAACTGTAAATCTATTTACCTTTTCAAAAAATAGCAACGCAATTGAGGAGAATTCCAAGCAAGAACTACTACCGTGCAAGTACTTGCTTATGGAAATATCCGTAAGCTCTACAAACTAATAACCTCAACAATAACCAATGATAATAAGCACGAACGATAAGTTATTTAAAGATGGCTACTATGTAGTTACTGTGAGAGAGATCAGCCGACAGTCGGACATATACGAACTAGTAGTAATGTCATATATATACATGTGCGTATATATATATATATCTTAGAACAATTAGTGTACATTATTACACTAAGATGTTCCATCGCTTTCTGATCGAATACGAAGAGGTACAAAAAATGTAGTTGCAGATATGTACAAGGTTAATTATTCTTCATCAAGGGTAATTATAAGATTATATGTATTAAATGTAGTTCAATGTCTAACCGATACCCACTGAGGATTTCGTCATATTTCCAACACTGGATCGTGTAAACATGCACAAGCAAAATACACAAGTCACGAAGGGCAGTAATTGGTCAGTTTTCTTTCGAAAACTGAAGGAGTTATAAGCACGCAGATTATGGAACCATTTCGAAGCACTTACCGTTTCGTTATTTGAGGTAGGCTTGCTCGCCTAACAGAAACACAGAGCGTATTAGAAAACTGAACCTCAAACGAAAGATCTACAATATAACTCTACTTTGAACCGAAAATTGAAAATCCAAAGCAAACTGATTTCAACTAAACTAGAAGGTGTTTCAAGGGGAAATTTTTATTACTCGATACATGAAATGCAGATAGGAGCTGAACATTACACACGATGATATTCCAAGGAAAATCGAATTGAAAACTATGGGACAAACCGTGTTTTTCTACTCACAACTCACCTGAGATTATGAACACATATAATACCGAAGCTCTAATACCTATTAGAAACCTACACTCTTTACAGCTCTTGCCTGTTGAACAGCGGGTCAATTAGGTCGTGAGTTAGGTACAGTTAGTAAAAAGGTTCGTCCGTTCTTTCATTTAGATTAGCAATAGCATCTACAAAAAAAAAACAATGTAAAAAATAATGTGCCAGATAGAAAGACGAAACGGTTCAGCAGAACAGCCCTTCTCAGCAGGTATGTTAATATTATTAAAGTTTGGTTATTGTTATTAACACAGTTTAACATAAACTTACCGATTCGGGTGAGAGCTAGGCAGCAAGAACTGAAATTGTGCGGCGCACACACCACTCGCTAACTCGAGGTGCTGCAAACATGTGAGGTCGTACGAGATGTACGCGCGCCGAATATACACCTCCAGGGCGGCTTTACGCACCACATGGTTCGAGTGGTAGAAGAAGTCTTGCAGCACGTCGAAAATCGATGTCTCGGACATTATTAGTTTCTGCAGGTTTTCCGGACAAAAATCATGTCCGTACATATCGATCGCAGAAAGGAAGATCGTCTCCATTTGATTATGGCGCAGATCGTAGCTGGGCTGGTGTGTAGCGATAAGCACCTGACGTGCTCGTAAGGCTACTCGTGCGTTGTCCTGTTTACTCAGACCCGTAAGCTCGTTTAGCGTCGTGCTCAGTTCGTCGGTGAGTCCAGGCTCGTGTAGGCAGAGATGGTCGATAAGCTTGATCATTAGATGGTTCTTTTTAAGAACGTTATAGTGCGAGAAAATCTTGTCTACAATAGTTTTTGTCGAACCCTTATGCTTCTCTCGTAGCATGGCGACACATTTATCATACTGGCCATTCTGGAAGTCTGCTTCAACGCTGAGGTACTTTACTAGTAGCTCCTGGAGCACCAGCTTCATACGGCCTCGAATACCGTTGCGGTACCTGCAATCATCATAATGTATAGGATAAATTGCAACGTTTGTAGCGAGTTTGTTACGCCGATGCGCTTGCCGCAAGTTAATGCCAGAAGGTCACGGTAATCTAATTTGGAGCAAATTTAAACCTTGCGTGCATTACCTGACCTAACTAAGTTACTACGAAATCTAAAAAAAAGAATCATATCGAACCTTTGCACAAGTTGCACGATTCCTTGCGTGGTAAGGAAGAATACGTCCCGGTCACTTCGCTTCTGCAGGGTGGCTGCATAGCCATCAATAACCGAAGCAATCTGCTGTGACGGGAACTGTGCCAGCATGGAGGTGATGTTTTTGTCATACATTTTCATTAGCTGACGAATATTATTCTCGACCTGTGGGGGAATACGGCCCGATATGCTCGAAATTATATCTTTCAATTCCATCAGGGGCAACTGGGGATCGCGTAAAGTTCTCATGAACACCTCAAGTGAGCTTTGCACGCGCTGCGAAAAATACGGCTCGGGAATGACGTAGCCGTCGAGGATGTTCTCCAGCTCGTATTTGGCACTCGTAAACTGCTGATTGAGCTTGTCAAATTTCTGGCCAAGATCTTCCTTCGGATCGGGGAACCCTTGCTGGTAAGGAAGAGCCTTATTTACACGAGTTGGGTCGTCGAGCTCAAGGCGAGCGAGCTCCGCCCCAGCCTCCAGCACTGCGCCGGGTCGCTTGATGAGGTACACTACGCCGGTTTCTTCGACAGTCAGCGTCATGACCATTTTCATTACTTCAATCTCGGCGTAGGGCTGGCCGGCAAGAACATGGCTACCATCTTCGACCAGGAACTGCAAGAGCTTACCTGTAGAAGGCGACCTCAAAACGGAAGGGTCTTTTTCCTTTTCGAATACACAGGTCTGGTTACCGATCACAACTCGGTAACGGTCAACCTCCTCTTTCATATAAGTCGCGTACGACGAACCGTCAATACTGATCAACAGTCTGTCATCAGACAACTGGTGGGCCTCCAGCTCTCGATAAGTGCCATTCATTATGAGAAAATAGGTGTTAGGCCCACTCTGCGATACGTCGACTGAGTATTTCACTCGATCGCAAACTAGATCAACAGGATAGGTATTATTGAGTGTTGACATAGGCAAAATTTGCCCTTTCTCAAGGGCTGTTTGGAAGCCAACAAGATTCTCGCGGATGGTTTTGTAGGCAACGTGCAGGGCTCCACAGGTTACCGACAGCATCATATCAGGCTTTTCTGCTTTTACCCTCTCAGCTATCATCTGATCAAGCCATCCGGTGTCGAAGGAGTTTTCGCGGAATGCCTGCGTCTCCAACAATGTGATGAGGTACTCAACAGTTGTGCGAAAATCGCCCCGAATCGATAACTCCTTAAGGGCTACCACCAGGTTTCTGAAAATGCCAATGAATGTATTTGAAATTAAAAGTATTGAAAACGCTACTTCAGAGATTGATTTGAATACTGAAATTATGATGGAACGTGTGTAGCCTGATTCGTCTGAGAATTTCAAATTTTCGCATACTTACTCTCTAGCCTCTTCCCGATCTTCTCCCCAAGAGAAGCAGTGACCGAACTGAGAGTCAGCGAATTCGTGCAGTCCGCCCGAGGCGCCTACCGAGAAATATCCCCAGACATTTTTATTACTTCGGAAGTTGAGTTCCTGCAAACCCCCGGCCGAAGGTTTGAATCCTTCGTCTGGATTTTCGGAAGTGATTCGGGCTGCAATCACGTGGCCCCAAGGAAGCGGCTTGTGCTGGGGCGCATCAAAGTCGATAACGGATGACCCATATGGATTTTCTCCGTACAGCAAGCGGATATCTTTACAACGATATAACGGAATGCCCATTGCAATTTGTAGCTGACACGCTGGCAGATTCACATCACTGATCATTTCTGTACATGGATGCTCGACTTGCAATCGCGGATTTAACTCAAGGAAATAGAATTTGCCATCTTCATTGTACAAGTATTCAACAGTACCGGCTGAAACGTAGCCGACCATCTTCGCTAATCGGACGGCAGCCTTCTCCATTTGGTCAAACACTTTATCCTGCGCAATAACACAAGGCGCCTCTTCAATGATCTTCTGGTGACGCCGCTGAATAGAGCAATCTCGACCAAAGAGCGAGATCGCATTGCCATAGTTATCGGCCAGCAGCTGTACCTCAAGGTGTCTCGCGTTGGTGGCTAGCTTCATGATGAAGATTGGTGATCCCGGAACTTCACTTTGCACCTGTCTAAAGCAGGATGGAAAGTCGTCCACGCATTCACATTTACGGATGCCTTTTCCTCCACCACCCTCTGAAGCTTTGATCATTATAGGGAATCCGATTTTTTGAGCAGCTTCGAGACCAGCGTCCACGTTGCCTGTAAACAGAATTCAGTGAGCAATCGTAAAGATCAAAAGGTAATCACAGTTAATTTAATATTAAATATCAGCTCAAGTAACTATTTGAAACACTCGATTTGTATATTCTGCAAAGTGAATTACCTTGTTTAGATTATGATTATCGAAAACAATTTCGAAAAGTAGACAAAACCTCTTTGTCAGTTATCCTTATCCGTTCTGAGACGGAACTTGGAATCGTTTTTTATTGGGATAGAAAACTGAATACTAACAAAATTTAGGAACTGCGTAGAGAAGAGGACATTTTTTATAGATTACTTATTGTTCTGTAATTCCAAATCATATTGAATTATACTACCAACTTCCGCTATTTAATGCATTCATCAAAAAGTATCTTAGACGGCACATACCAATGCAGCCTTTTTTGTAGAGCTCAGGCTTTATGCGCAGTTTCTTCGCTGAATGTCCTTCATCCTTATTCCAATCGGCCTTGAGCTCAGATCCGCTCCATGGAAGTGTGGGAATATCTGCTGTCTGAGCAACGATACTCGAGGCAATCTTGTCACCCAGTGCCCACATAGCTTTTTCCGGTGGTCCCATGAACACAATGCCGTTTTTCGCCAACAGTTCGGGTAGACGAGGATTTTCGGATGCGTGACCCCATCCGGCCCACACTGCCTGAGCGCCGACACTCTTGGCGATGTCCAGGATAAGATCAACGTTGGCGTAGTTGTTATTATTCGAGCCGCCCGGCACGGGGACACAGTGGTCGGCCAGCTTTATGTACTCTGTCACGCATCACATCAACATGGCAAGCGGTAAGGAAAGACGTTAGATGAAAAACGTCTGCTTTCCACATTCGTTAGGTCCGGTACCTGTTGGTTCGTTCTATTATCTATTGTTCTACTGTCATTATCAAGGACACGTAAAACTTGGAACTGTTCCCACTCGAAAAAGCTGAGTTTGCTCGAAGCTATTTCCTGTACCACCCATTTTCAATGAAGCAATAAAGCATTTCAATTAATACCGCCTAGAAAAACTAGATCTGACATGCGCCATATAAGCAAGCCGATTAGACCGCATAAATCAAGAACGTACCAGAATTTGCGGCGAGGTCCTCCGGTGTAACCATTACAACGAAGCGGATTGCCCGGTCGTTGGTAAACATTTCGTAAGACCATCGTCGAATTGAACGCATACATTTCACGGCCGCGATACCATTGTTTGCAATGAGTACATTATTTATCACATGGTTACCGCCAAAGCGGGTGACGAACTGCTCCGGCGATGCTAGAATGAAATCCTTGCCTCCTGCGGGACCGCTGCCGCTAAGGACATTTCCTTTGGATTCCGCGTCCTGGGCGCTCAGGTGCACTCCAGACATTGACTGCCTAGATGCATTAAATTGAATAGTCACAGAGAAGCACAACGCAAAAAAAGAATTAGGTATTAAAAGCTTTCGATAAATTGTAAAAAAAAATTAGTGCACACGTTTAATGTTTGTTTAACACGTAAGGCCTTACCGATTCAGTGAACGAGCCAGCTAAAAGGAATACGAACTGTTGTACAAGAACGTTAGCTTATTTGTTTGGAAGTAATTGTTTTACGTTCTTAATTTTCGTCTTTATGCACGAGGGTATCTGTAGTATGCTGTGTATGCATATTTGCACCATTACCTATGGCGGTCGTCGAAATACAATTGTGTAACTACTGTTAATTCTGGACTCGTAAAATAAATATGCATTGCCATTTCTACGACCTAGAAGACTACTTTTATCCACTACCTGCACAGCAAGCTATTACACATAAAAGGATCAAATACCCATTGCAGTTGCAGTTGTTCGGGGCACCCCTAACAGGCGCCATGCGCGTAAAAAAAAGCGGACGATATTTCGCTCTCTACTATCTTCTCTGTTCATTTGATTCTTTGAGTAGAAATATCGATGAACATTTTATATAATTTCCTTACAGATTTATCAAGAGCAACAAACACAGTGGTATTTTCGTAACCGTATCTTGATATCATGCGATAGATACGCGTTGGATCTATCCCTAAGGATCAAATCCACACAATTCTGTCGTTGAAGCTATCTTCACAATAACGCTATACAGTTTTTCATCATTTTCTTCCAAGCATCCTCGCCTGCAAGTCAGTCTCGCTCCGCTGGAATGAACATAATCAGCGAGAAGGCTTGGCTCACGAACTAATCAGATGCTCGTTTTTTGTATTATAGTAGTCAATATTCCACGAAAATGACCGCCTGCCCCCACAAGACAATAGTTTTTTTTCCCAAAACACGACGGAAATAGTCACTTTTGCTTCTGATGATAGTGGGAACACTGATCTACCAGCCGGTTGCTATTCTGCAAAGGGTAAAGAAGACCGTGTCAAGAATGTAACGGTCGCCTGACTCAGAAAGTACAGATGAATAACAACGATAGCGTGTAAGAATGGTTTTAGATAAAAACATTCGTATAACACCAAATCGGTAGAAGTACGCGCAGCGAATCCGATAGTGGTGGCCCGGCGACAGCAGCCAGGTAAGACGTCTCTTATGTAATCTTTGTTGTTTGCACTAATACGGTTCTACTTCATAACACTTCTGTTTGTTGTTTTTTCTTGTCACTGACCATTCCACTCTGCTTCACAAGCACGAATACATAAGTTCGTGAGAACGGCAGATAAAACACAGTTCGTATAGTACTGTCGGGCCAGTCGACAGACAGATGAAAAATATATGGTTATGCTCATTGTCTTTTACTGGCATCGGGGCACCCAGTAGAACTTGCAATCGGAAGAGAAGTTAGTGCAAGGTACATATGCCACACGTATGGTGGCCTGGCTAGCTAGAAAGTTAGCTCAACCAATGCGGCGACAATTTCATCGTATACATAGCTCCTTATAACAGTTCAGTGTCGGTGTACTAGGACGTATTAACATTTTCCTACTTGAAATATTTTTCGTTGCTAAAAAGGTTAGATTCAACCAAGAGCAAGAAACCCGCTATTGAAGCGGCACGGAAAGCATTGCTAGATCTTCTGCGGCTTGAAGCCCCGCGTTCAACGATCAGTAAGAGCTAAGCAGCAGGCAGGCGGACGCCAATGCGGTCAACGATTTTTCCACTAAAGGCATTTTCTTCCATCTTTAAAACGGACGTAGGGACGAATCGATGAATCCTTATCCGTCTTCCACCATGAGAAAATCCCTGCACTAAAATAATCCTTGTGGTTAGGCAGTTTTTCGGTTGCTTTGTTGTCCGCTATCGAATCTGCATTTGACCTGTTACTAAGCGGGTCCTTATGGCAAGTAAAATAAACTTGACTTGGGCTTTAAGTACCTCTCACTGATGGACTCACTGCAGCTTTGTCTACTAATCCTTGTTTTTGTGCGTATTAAGTGATCATGCGCAATAAGATCGTTCTTTGAACGTTGAAGTTACTTGTAAGAAGCTCAGACTCCGTTGGTTATGATGGGTACTGGGGGCGCCATCGCCCGCCGTTGCAGCAGCGTCGTCTCAGTACATGTCAGGACTCAGCTGGTCACCAAACCCAGGTGGCGCTTTTGGTCGCAGCCGTAGTTGCCGCTGGTGTCACGCGAGGTTGAGAAGGAAAATAGGCCCATGGTGTGATCGGAGAGGAGACTGCCCATAAGAGAACTGACTGACCCTGCAACAGCTGCTACAACGACAGTACCTCTCGACGAGAGAAACAGAGCTTGACACGAAATGTCGAGAGATTTTTTACTATCAGACTACTGCAGACCTGCGAGTGATGCTCGACAACCAGTAATCGTATTATGACGCTGAGGTAGCTCTGTTAGAGACTCTACGAGGTCTCTTCATGGCAAAGGGTTACTATAGGAGAGGTGCGGAAACCCTATGGACGCAGAGATTCATTTTTATTTCAAGAATCTTTTTTAAATTTATACCTCTCTCTTACTCTATATTCCTAAAGAGACGTTTTGTTTTTTTATTATTTAAGAACGGTTTTACTTTCGTTGAACTCTGGTTAACAACAGGGTTCAATTAAAGGAATTAATTGGTGATAGAATAAGTTTGAATATAAACTATTCCGAGACTTTATCCTGTGATGAAGTGGTGGTACCATTCTACTCTATCAGTGATAATAGAGATTGGGTACTATTCTAACTAATAAACATCACCAATATATCTACTGGTCATAATCGTCAAAGAACGTTCACCGTTGCTGCTGCTTCTACTATTGATGCTAAATTGGCAAAGGTAATCGACCCTCGGGGAAGGCCAGTGGGGTATGTGATAAACCGAAGGCCGAAGTAAACTGCGTTATGGAAATTGTTTCTGCAAAATTTAACATTATTAAACAAAAGTTGTTATTCATTTAGGGTATTTAAACGCTAAAATTTTATTATGTTAACGGTAATATCAAAGTGATAATATAGAAAAATAGCTTCATAGAGGATAATTCCCATAAGCGCCGAGATATCTATAAAAAAAAAACACAAATATTGCGGTATTAAAAACAATCCACCATATCGGATAAAGTTACGAAGTAGTTGCACCGCTAATAAAACGCGCCATTTAAAGCAACTTACCGCCGAAAAGGCGCTCATTCGTAAAGCGGATGTATCTATACATAGGTCAGGCGACCAGGCGTTATGGTCGATAACATATTTGTACGGTGTTGACTTCTACAAATAACAGATAAATTGAAGAAAAGCTCAAAGATGTATATCTTTAAGAAAAGCCGCAAATAATAACACAAATATTGCAATGGGCTTTGCAATTTAGACACCTTAGTAAAACATTTTCTATACAGCATGTCTTTCTACTTCGAAATCAAACAGCAAGCATTTCTGAAGTTTGCTATTTACGCCGATGGTGAGCTTTTCATTAACAGAAATCTGGGCAGCAACGGTAAAGATTAATTTCCTCTCAAGAGATTGCTGATTAGTCTTCGAAGCTTAGCTTTTGCTTTAGATGATTTAGTCCTTAGGAGAGTTATGTGTACATAACGTGATTGAAAAACACTCAAAAAAAAAACAGCTCTAAATAATACATAAGTGATTAAGAACAGATCCGTATCCGCCCGTGTTAGACGCACAGTTTGCACACCTTTCCATTTTGCAGGACCATGAAAACCACGCATCCAAAGGTGTCAGCTATATATTATCGACAAATCACGCATGAGAAGCTTGATGACTTTCAAGTATGAGCACATCGAGTTAAACAATAACACAATTTAAGGCAAGACAATACGGTAACATCAATTCCTACTTTGGCCGCATGCTGTTCCCTCGCTGACGATTCAACAACTAGCAGCGTCCAGTCGCTACCGCAGACTCCACTATTCAAACTGGCGTCAGCAACAGCAGAGGGTGATAGTGTCCCATGGAGCGTGTTCTCTACCCTACAGCCATTGACGAGCAGGACTTATGCGCTGCGTAAATATTAAGACGCTCCACAATGATGTGAGCAAGCACTGTTAGCAGCGGCCATTTAAAGCGCATTTCCCTAGCAGCTCAAGGCGAGGCACACGCGCTCACCGGAAAAGAGCACTCTCTTACAGGAACGATGGGAAAGGACACCTCGAGCGCGAAATTAGCTTCCGGTCATTCCCCATAATGTCGTTAGGGCTGCTGTGATGCGTGTGACAACGCACGAAATGAGCTGACACTCTCGATTCCAGACTTGCTCTCATTCTAGTGGTCATTTACTTTAAATATCCTGCAGGTGAAGTTTATTAAGTGAAGATGATGAGAAGTGACAAGAACAGAATCAATTATAAGCAGGAACAGGCATAAATACACCCGCACCCACACGAGCTTTCGTAAACATACACAGAAGTCACACAAGGACTAAGACTTTATCGAAAGTTCAACGAGATCCAGCTCGATGCGGTTCTATTTTTGATAAACGGCGTTGCAACGACAGCGCCATCATCCAGAAACCGGTGCATAGATGAGCAAAACAACATGTGTCTGGTGATATTCATATTGGTCGCCGTTTGGAGCTAAACCGTCTCTTGCACCTATGCGTTCAACTTTTTGGCGGTACTACACTTTAGACTAGGATCTCGATCGGTGAAGCTTCACATGGTACCTAGCGCCGTTCGGCGCAAATCTTATCACTCATAGCACGAACATCATTATCATGGCAAAACCCTTGATAATCCTTGTAATCTTAATTAGTATCCCGGCTAAATGCACATGTGTATGTAGTCGACCGTGCGTTTTTGTGTATTGTCACAGGTTTACAACAACGGCTAAATAGTTCAACGAGCTGAACAGAAAGCGAAACGAAAATATGGTCGAAAAGATTCGCTTAAGCTATTGAAAAAGTCTTACCCTACAGGACGTGATCGAGATAAATCCATAACATAGTTACATAGATTCATCCAACGCAATCTGTATCGTGCCCTGCCACAACAGCTGCATCAGCGTTATTAGGTGATAATTTTTTTACGGTCTAACTCAAATGCTTATAGAGATATCTTTATAGAAAAATTGCCACTGATGTAGCTGTCACTTAGTTGAATGAGCCTTTGTAATAGAGCCTTTGGACGCTGGTTCAGCTAGCGCTGAAAAAACGGACAGCCTTGAGACATGTCGACAAAGGACAATATCAATCTAGAGTCCATTCCACATTCGAATTGTTATCGAATCTATCGAAATTGTAGAGGACTAACTGCCAGTTCTCACCTTTCTTTTACAATCGAACGTTGTTTTGTTGGCGTTGTTGTGACCAGTAATCTGATTTTTTTTTTCTACTTATATGCGTATCCTGCGCAGAAGAATATTTTGTATTTAAAGAAACGATCAAGCAGTTTATCGACGACACGCAAATAGACAAACCTGAAATGTCTTTTAGAGTTGCTTCCACCAAATTTCATTTTCATCGAGTCTACGGACAGGGTTGAGTTCTGATCAACTGAATTCGTCGCCGTGAGAGAGTTCTCCGCCGAACCGTTCTCGTCGTCGCTGATGTCCAAGGTGAAGGTTGCGGTGCGTTCACTATCCCCGTTTTCGAAGCTCTCACTACTGAGGCAGCGACAAGAACGTAGATCAAACAGATACACAGTGTTACACAACAGCTATCCATACAGAAAAAGGTCTTATTTACGGGTATCCAGAACAGACGATTTACTATTTATTTACTATTATTATAGCGCATACCTACTGGTTTGTTTTTTTAAACTACACGTTCCCGCGTACGACTGTTAAACAAAGAGCGCAATTTTTTGTTGCATCTTTGCTTGCATCCGTCTAATTAAGGTTTCAATCTATAGCAATAGCGTTGATTCTATTCAGGTCTATTATTTTAGGAGAGACATACAAAGCAACTAGGTAAACTCTCTCATACCAATAAGTGCCAGCCGAAGAAAAATCCAATCATAAGGGAGTTGTAATAAAAATAAAGCGAATTTATATGGGTTTATTCATTACACGACATTTATTATCGTTTGCAGTTGAATACAAATTCAGATTCGTTTACGCAACACCATTAAAAGTTAACTGTCCCTACCCAACCTACTGGCTGTAACCCTACCCAACGGTGATCTCGTCTAGTTCAGTCTAGGTTCTCCAGGTAGGTCAGGCTGTGGTGGGTGAGAATGCCTATCAGAGCACTTGCATAGAACGGTACCAGGAACCAACAATGAAAAGGGTTTGAAATTAACATCTCTGGGCCCTTGGCCAGAGGTCAGTGGAACTTTATCCTAAGCTATCATAAAGTCATCCTATAGTCACTATCTGATAGAAGCGAGAAAGACAAGCGCGCGACAAGCACACAACAACGGCGCTAGGTTTTCTTTTCTATTACAAGAACATGGTTTTGTTCTGCCATGTTCAATTGGACCCTGCAATTACGAGTCATATAAATCACAACGAGCATCGGCAATGATATAACACGGGCTTAACGTCTGCATAATCCGGAATTACCAGCGTCTTCAGTCTTTTTTAAAAAAAATCCTTCATCTTTTTTTCTTGTACGTTTTGGGGCTATTTTACTTCGCACGCCCCAATACGAATTTCGACAAGTAAAGCGAGCAATAAATGAACAATAAATTAATTAAAAAGGAAACGATAATGATGGTGATGGCATAACTGGTAAATATTGCACTGCAATTCGAACCTGTTTTACTAGTAACCTAGTTCCCCAGTTGAATACGTAACAGGACCGACGGCGTACCTTTTTTCGAGCAGGGCTGTTTTAGCACAGATTTTTTCAAAGACATTTTTCTGAACCTAGTCTAGATGGCAACAGCTAGTCATGCTAGAAAACCCATGGCCATGAACAGCACGTGTAACATTCGAACCATTAGTGCTACCAGACACTGTCCACGTAAAGCCTGTGCCCCCTGCGTGTCATCGTATCTTCCTACGGAAACTGCTGCTAACAATGAAAGCACTCGCGCTAGCAGAATACGTCTTGACTCTAACTAAGCGATCCCTACGGCATAGATTCAAGTGAAGGAAAGAAGGGCGGGCACGCGAACTAGAATTGCGTCATAGAGAAAAAAAGACTGGTATAGCATGCCCAGATTCACCGGAAAGTCTCCTTTCTAAGGAAAGGTTACGGCCGAAGAATAAAAGCGACTGGGGTATTGCAAACCACTTTTTGACCGCTTGACATCTAAATGCGGACGGGTATACCCTGATTTTAAATGGGATAAGTTCGTCAGCAACGTTTGTACGCGTGTAAGTGCTGGCGAAGTTTGCAAGCTTTTTTTTGTTCTCTGCTGCCAAACCTTGTGATAGACGATTTCTACTATAGTGGTCACGTTTGTATGATCCGACATAGCGGAAAAATCGCGAGTAGATAAACTCAACAACCCAACCCACATGCAGAAACCAATGCAATAACGACAATAGTTAAGTCTTACGCCTAAAACGGTTATATTTCTTTAGTTTTATTAAATTAATTTCACATGCAAGCAATTTATCTAAAGCAATTACCACATAGAAGCCATTAAGACGATCAAATAATAGAAGATCTTGTTCGCAAACATGTGATCAAAAGGTCAAAAATATAAAAATCGATAGCTTTACTTTTCTATACAGATTTTTTAGTACGTGTTTTGACGTACATTTCACTTTTTAGGAACTTTTTTTACGCTTACGAAGCTCTGCTGTGCTATCGCGTACCATGCTAGTTTAGATGAAGTTCGATCGTGAATTGAAATTCTCTCCACTGAATACAGACTTCGACGACGGCAGGAAATAATATTAACACACACTAACATTCGACATTGGTGCTCGTTCATGCCGCGGACCCGCTTTTAGTCAATGACGAACTTCATGATGACGGCAGCGTAATAGCCAATTAATTATCACATATGGGCGTAAAGGCTCTACAGTGCGAAACATAATCTAACATCGTTGTTGTCCATCGACAGTGATTAGTTCGGCTTCAGGACATTCCTCGCCGAAACCATCAACCGATATTCGGACTTCACTCGGGAAGATCGTTTGACTATAACTACAAAACGGAGAAAGACGCTTGTAGACTTCTCTTTTTACAGAATAATTCTTTAGTGAACAACAGACAACGTACAATAACCAATAAAGTATTAGAATTCGTCTATTGGATACAAACGGACAATGTAAAACACAAAATAAAACGCTACCTCGGTAAATTTTTAGATGAAACGGGCAGCCCCCATGCGAACCCCCTGACATCGGCATAGTATTTGCATTTAGGCTACGGTCACTGAGTTTGGCAGCATCTCGTTGAGTTTGCGTAAATGGCAATACAGCCACTGAAATTAACCAATCAAATACTAAAATATACATGCGGTCCCGAGCAATACCTGGTTTAAATAAAGAATATATAATCTAATAAACTAGGATATCTGCATTGCGCCCGCCTTTCAGAATAGAGAATTGCTTACATGATTACGTTTTTGTTTCGAGCAATCTGTCCACATTCATAGAGGCAGTGATATAAAGAAACGGAAATTTTCAACTAAGCTTGCTTACCAGTATAAAGCTGGCGGTCCTTTTTTTCTTACAATATTAAAATTTTGTATGTATGCTAGCTTCTAAAGGAATTCGCAACAGCTTCAAGGTGTTTTTTTTCGTGGTAGCAACGGTAATGATTCGCGCTTTGTTCTCAAGATAGGCATTTTTGCTCGCACCAAAATAGACCCAACTACCAAGACCTGATTCTTAAGCGAGACCTAAGACTCGACAGAATTGTTAGAGTCAATTGTACCAAGAGTAAACGACCTAATATGTCAATTTTAAAATATTTCTGCTATGATTTTCAGCTAACCCAAAATTTGTTAAATTGCTACATTATGTGTATGCGGATACTTCACTATTAATGTCACGCAATAATCACCGTAAATGAAATATAATTTCTTTATCGTTAACATTACTGATCTCTCGACCCACATTGTTTATTGCTTTCATTTATATATACAGAGCGGGGCATTAAAATTCAAACACGCTTTAGTGGCTGTTTAACGTAGTGGACGTGCGTCTATTCTCTGTTCTTGTATTAGAAGAAGCCAATTCCATCTAAAACAAGCTCATCGTGGCAAAAAACTTGTGGGTTCTAGGAGCAAAGGCCAGCTATTACCTAATGTGTTAATGTGAGACAAATCCCCACCGAGATTAAACTTCTCTTTTTTTCTGAAATCGAGGGTGTACATCATTGTCACTATTCATGCAACTTTTGAAAAATCGGAGGATATTTTCTAAGGGGCAAACCGGTTTGTCCACAATAGAGTTTGGACTTAAAGAACTCAAATTTATCAAAATGATTCAAGATGCCATTTTTTTGTACCTAGTGTAAAAAAAAATGTGTGTATATATATATATATATATATATATATATATATATATATATATATATATATATATCGCCGTATTGAAGATCTAATTATTGATTGCGAATTGGGTCGCCTATAGACGATACACCGGTTAGCCTTTTAGGTACTTTTCCAATGGTTAGGCCTTCTGCGTTTTTTTTATAGTCTTCAGACTTATTCGCTGTCTCGAGCTCTTGCATTTCGAAACTCTTGGCGTCCTACCAGCCCAAAATTTTAACCTGAAAATCTTCGCATATAGCGTATTATACCATGAGTTGAATACAGCTTCACGCACGGTCACTAGTAAAAAGTTACTTAAAGGAAGAACACTTTCCGAGTCGTTGAAGTCCCGAACTTAAAATGTAATTGCGGTAAATGATTGTTGTGTTGAATGAACATGACAGTTAAGAATGACATATTTAGCACATGTAAAAAATTGTTTAATTCTATACTTGTTTGAACACAATCTTAGGCACAACTTCGGATTTAAATACCCGACTTACATAGTAAAAATGTCATACCGGTTCCAGCTAAAAACTGGTTAAAAGACCCAGTAAAAGTAAATATAGTAAACGTTTTCAGTGGCGAACTTCCACTTTTCTGAGCAAAAACACCAATTTCTACCATGGAATAATACAAAAAGATGAAATTAGAGATTCTGACATTTGATCTAAAGACGCGCTGTGTTTGCATAACGTAATAGGGGGTTAAACGGACGACACGTTTCCAGGAATCGCTTTATAGAACTAGCGTTACATGCGCCCGAATAAGAAATATTTCAAGCAATGTCTAGATCTTCTTCAAATTCGTTGCTTTCGAAAAGTCACAAAAAGCCTAAGAGTTACAGGTTAGTGCGGTCCACCTTGCCATACCTAGACCTTAATATCACGCAAATCTATCAAAATATGTTGTTATAAGATCATATTTTTTAGGAAAGGCGTTCCCTATTGAAGATCCGGTTCTACATTTGAATGTAACGTTTCGGTCGCACGGCCTGCTAACAGGTCTCAGACACTCCAAAATTACATCATAGAAATGCCAAGTCGAAAGCGAGCTATAACATGTTAATGTCGTCTACACCGTCGCGACGCTTGCGCAGCAACTTATTGTATCTAACGGATAACATAGCAATAGCAACAAAATGTCCGACAATTGTACCGTTCGTACAGTATCGCTACAAGATAAAACATATAACGTATGGTAAACTAATAAAATAGATAAAGTAAAACACTTGTTGTGTTCAATTGCCATAAACTTCTGAACAAACCAGCGGTTCTTCTGGAAAACGGAAAAATATCGAACTGGTTTTTATATCATTCGGTTTATTTTAAATCGCTAAAAACGTCTGAATTATTTTTATATTAATTTTCTAAACTAATCAATTTGTTTTAAGCTACAATCAACTTATTGCATGTTGAAAAACTAAGCACGATTTTCAAGCCACCATAGAATAATCATGTCCAAATTGTCAAAACTTAAGCTCTTAATACTAAATGTATCAATCGCTCAACTGAATACTTATAGCTAATCTATCAATTTGCAAAATAAGTGTCTAGTAAATATTAATCATGCATTATTCACTTTCACCCTGAAGTATGCTAATCTTCGTTCAAATCGATCTCCCATAAGTGACCTCACGACAATTGTCGCAGAGAGATGTCATCTAGTATTTTCATCTGTGTCGTCCTTGTCCATCATCTCTCTCTAATATATCACATGGTGTTGTGATTTGTCTTTCTGTTATCGCCAATGTTTTATCGAACAGTCAGAAAGATTTTCTTGATACAAACGAAGCGCTCTTTTTCTTGGCCGCTATCTCCACTCCCACCTACCTATTACCACGCCAGTATATCTCGTCAAAGTAGTAAGAATTAAAAATAGTATCCGTATAGACAGCACGAGCAAACGAAAGAAAGGGCAAAAGATCAAGAGAAGGACTATCTGGCTGATCTCGTATCTGACTCGACCTGAGTACTTGTCACAGTTGCTGCCAGCAATCGGAGGTACAGCATTATCAGTAAGCCATTACGACTATCACCATCACGGCCGCTCCAACCAACGTCATATGACTCGTTTCTCTGTGTGCGCAAAGGTATTATGATCACCTCTAACAAATGCCGACCCTGTTATCACTCTGCTTGAGCCCGTTCCTAGTTGTAACCCTAGCACAGCAGCATCAGCGCTACCATTACCAGTATTATGAGTGTCCTACTCTTCCACAAAGAAACTCTCGTAACGCCAAGTTAACTGGCTGCCCGATAGTCTTGCTACCTTACTAAGAAGTTTAACTCGTTCTTCTTTTACCACTGGGTCATACTAGTTTTAACTAAGCAGCCAATCAGTGGTATCCCCCCTCGTTGTTTGTATCGCCATCTCTCCACTATATACTTTCTTGTAAGACAAAGGCACTGCTGCGGCTGTAGAAAATGCGCCAAATGCAACGAAGATTTAGTCTGGTAGCGAAATCCAAAGTTGTCGCAAAATTAGTCCAGACTTTTCGCCCATTTTTTTTTTGCTAGTTCACCTGCGGCATTCTTCTGCAGCCCGTCAAATCACAGCGAAATTTTTCTATCTTGGCTTTCTTCCTCTCACCTCGTGCCACCACCTACAACGATAGCAGCCGCAGCGGATGCGTGTCCATGGACGACGAGTGGCGTGTACACTGACGTATTTGTGTATCTCTCAGTGTGTTTGTCCATCGTGTATGTGTGGGAGCGTATGTGTGTGTGTGTGTTTCTTAAAGATCATGCCACGAGACGCCGGCCATGTACAAACTGCAGAAAGTCTACGGCCTACAGTGTCCCTACAAGGGATCAGTTGCTTACAGCAATTGTCTTTTGCGCGCAATCGACGAGGCAGCTGATAATTTGACGATGCTCCTGCACGTTGTTTACGGAGCAATGGCGCGGAGCAGAGTCAGGCAGTCACGCAAGGAAAGGGCTTTAAAAACAACAACAACTGCTACGGGTGCCGCAAGCCGGCCACTTATGCCGCCACTAGCGCCTTCGCTACCGTCGCCATCGCGCATTGAGAAATCACCTGTGATACTGTTGCTGGTTAAAAAATTGCATGTCAAACAGACCATATAGGCTGATGATCACTTTAGAGGGCAGCGAGTTGAGAGCGGTCACAAAAAGACGGAAAGTGGTCGGCCGATAATACGAAGTGATGCTGAGCAGAGGCTGACAAGCTGGCGTTCCTGCTGGTGATGGCCATTGCAAAGCTAATACCATACTGACGATCCAATAGCAACGCTTCTATGTTCCTCTATTCATGTCGAAACTACAGATATATTTTTAAAAAATTGGCAGATTTCTCAATATATTTTCAGATATGTTCATGTTTTTAAAAACTCAAAGGGGTACTTATGTATTTAGAAGCACCGACGTGATAAATGTTATCTCGATCACGTCAACTCCCTGTTTATGTATAGTGCTAAATTAATAAAATGTATTACAAATAGTAAGGCTAATATTGGACTCAACGCTTTCAAGTTGGGCCTTGCTACGTTACTTAAGAATAATAATAATAATAACACTTAATAAGAATCGAAGAGATGTACATGATTGCACTGAATCATAATACGACAGTAGCCGTCGTGCAGTGCACTCAGACAGCATGTTATTGGTAGGTACCAGAGGCTACAATGCAAATATATATTATTTTTGCGGCAACTTTGAATCGATGTCTTAATGCTTAAAACAGACAAACACTTAATTTTAGTTAACCGTCTACCAGCTGAAATTTTAATTGGATTCTCTCGTACGAGTAGGTAAGAAGACAATTTTAAATGTTAGCGGTGTCATACAGATGCCCTACAATACCCAAGAATATATTGTGTTGTTTTAAAATCATCTTTCGCTCTACCCATGTAACACCTCAACTTAGCGCGTTCTTGCAAAAACTCAATCATGTGGAAAATATCATAACAAACGAATTACATTGAATTGTTAACACATCCTAAACGACTCATCGCTATACTGCGTACTTGGAATTGACTCAACGTTACAAGGCAGCCCTTTATAGCATTTTTTGCACATAATAACTTAACGACCTATCGTCTTCCAGAACGTAGTGTTCAACCTTCTTGGAGAACCATGTGAAGACGACCCGCTGGAGTTCCTAAAACCACCTGTGTTTCACAATGTTTTCAACGTAAATGCCAATTTTTGTTGAAATCGAATTAGGTTATTGACAAATATTTTCCTAGAGTTCCTTTTAGGGTTCAACGCATTGGATGGATGCATTTGGATAGATGCACACAAATAAAGAAAAGTTCAGAAAAAAAAACTAAAATTGGATAAATGCACAGAACGAAATGTTACTATTTCGCCCATTAATAATAAGCGCATCAGACCCATACTAATGAAACAGAAATACGATGCTCACCATCCCAAAAAAGCTACGAAAAGTAAATAATCGATAAAGAAAATTGCTGAAATCATTAAAAAAAGCCGCCTTTTTATTAAAAAAAAAAAAAAAAAAAAAAAAGAAAAAGAAAAAAAGCTACGAGCAGTACGTAATGACTTTCACAGCGGTTGAATCACTTACAATATTGACATTTCTTATGCATTTCCAAGAAAAAGGTAGCTGATAAGTGCATAGCAACCAGAAATTTATTGGCAGCCTGCCCTAAGATTTGCATAAAGTTTCTTTTGTTTTACTAAGGAATAAATGCAAAGAAATGCGATTATATACCCGAGTACTAATCATGGGTCAGAACCTATATTTTGTTACCTTCAAGGTATCTTGTAAGTTTCGAGAAACATTATTGGTGATTTGCTACATATCGGTAAAAGAACTGCGAACCCGTGTAGTTTGAAAAAAAAAGTTGTTGTGCTCTTTTGATTAGATTTCCTCTAAATCTTAAACAACGTAGTAATCTATTCATCTTAGATTACCACCAACAAGTCATTGCAATTCTGGAACATAATAATTCAGTCTATCTCATTGTGACGAACAAGTGGTGATCAGGGCCGCGATATAAATTTAACATTATCTGAACAAAACCAGCCGCGCATGCAAGCCTGCCGGAGTGCCGCCACTATTGTCTAATTCCAGTATTTCACATTAGGTTTAACTCTTATTCTCCTAATTGTTGCTAATTATTATTTCTTTAATAACGTGCGGTCCATCCCAGAAACGAATTAAAAGACACGGGTAATGGCACAACTGACCTGCTGTTAGGTTCGAAATACACGTATGAATTGAAGTTCAAATTTACTTGCCAATGCGTAAATTTGACATTATCTAGAGTAGTGCTGGTTTTTTCTATCGTAAGTTTACTTGCGCTACCTAACGGCATAGTGTCACTAACAACACAGTCAAACTAGGCAATTGCTGCTCCTCATACAAGCGTCGTATAGAAAAAGGTCATGTGATTTCTCAAAATCTCCTTATAGTAATCGAAGCCCTTAAATCATAAGCTTCATTTAAGACCTCACCTTTCCAGTATTTAAGTATCTGAAGGCTTACAAATAGTGACCTTTTAGAGCCACCTTGACACATTATCGCACGAACTGCTAAACAGAATTAGCTAACTGATTGATCTCATCATATTTCATCCACTTACCATATTTTCTACTACTAATTATTACGAATTAGGCTAACACCTGCAATATCACACAGAAATATTTCATTCACAGAGACACCTAACTTTTCCATACTCTGTTACATCGTTAACTTACAGACTCACCTAACATTTAACCGATGAATTTTTTCGCTCATCTCATCGTAAGAGTCGATTACAACCTTAACAGGACTTCCTACTTCGACGGGATCATTCTCCTCTCTTCCGGACGACATCATCCTGTCGGCGTTAGCGCCCAAGGTGCCGCCGCTCAATCTGACGTCCTCTCTGATAGAGCTGATCAGTGTTGTTACGCTCGTTGGTTGACCAACGTTGACGCCACTCGTTTCGACAGCGGAATCAGTTTGTTCAGCGAGAAGTTCGTCAGATGTCTCCTCAGGATGACCAGTCATAGGGTCGCGCCCATCAAGGTCTGAGCTTCCTGCAGAAGAGCCAGAATAGCCAATGCAGGTACCTGTTAAAATACGCGCCGAGAAAATACGACTTAGCTATTTGTTGAACTGTCTGTTTCCATTTGTGTTTTTCATTCTAGGGCTCGTTCTGAAAAAAAAGCATGTTTCTGTTCGTTTGAAACTTATATCTGCATCGAAGATACACGAAAATGATAGAAACGGAGGAATCAGACACTAGCATCATGAACTTAATCTATTCGGGACAAATGGCGATTAATTTTTTTGATTAGTGGAAACGTATACATACTTCGATCGGCTCCTTACATTACACCTACATCTAAGCTGATGCAAGAGCATGTCATTTGACGCTTTCGGATACATTTGATTATTATTCCTGAGTTATTACTTCTCGAGTAAGTACTATAATTAGTAGGAGAGTTAGATGGATTAATTTTGCCAAATAATATCCCCTGCATAAACGTATATCAGTTACACGTCTTCCTGGGCAAAATGTTTAACACGAATCGGTAACATCAATGCAAGGATCACAACATCGATGATAGTGTCTCAGACTTAGATTGGTAATTTATTTTACCTTTGCCAAATGATCTGATCACGAATAATTGCCATTCGCTTAGCTGCTTAAGATCTAGACGATGAACTGAGCCAACGAATGACTTGTTTCGGACAACAGCAACCTTTACACTAAACTGTGTGTTGTATTCAATACACCTTTATATAATCCACATCAATTACAATATTATAACAGAAATCAAAGCTTTGTCCCTATAGAAAGGTATATTTACTTACTGGACCTTCGATATTCACAGTTGTAGATGCTTAAATGATGTTAGCTTTAAACGCTCGTCAAGCTGGAGTCTAACAACGAAAGAAAACCCTGATTATAGCAAGCATCTTCTGACACCAACACTTGCCTTTAATGCATACCAGATTTGGCATTCTGCGTGACTTGTCAGACCAAAAAGACGGCCACAAACTCCGTCCACATTATGATTGTGTCGAATCAATAAAACCCTCACAAAGCGACATATGCTGTTCCGAGTTGCGTTTTTTGAGGAGCTCATTCACTGGACTTATAGTATGACTCCGCTGGCAAACTCATTGTAATAAGCGAAGGCCCGAATTAGTAAAAAAAAAAACCAACGCATGCATTGAAAATATTCGATAATCGTTGGACATGTATCTACTTTATTTTCTAATTTTATTTGATTCTTGATATATCGAATATTGATTTATCGCTGTGTTACAGTTATGGCAAGATAAATCATACGAGGGTGAAAGCCCGTTTCATTAGATGAGTGCTCCACTAAATACAGAATCGTCTAAAAACTGATCGTTTAAAAAATATCAGCAAACGAAACGTCGTATTCAAAACAACCATAATCCACTTCAAGGAAAAAAGGCTCTTACTGTAAATGGCAAGGAAAGACGAAAAAATTATACGATATGAGACAACCCTTGAAGTATAAAAATTTGCAGAAAATATAGAAAAAAAAACACCGAACTAAAGAGAGTTGAGCACGCCTCATGGTAACTTATATACAAACAAGGTCACACATGGTTCAACACGAACATTTTTGCAAAATATCTGCAGTATCTGGTCATTTTGAATGGCCTTCTCAACAGGAATATTTACGCAATATTAACTCGCCTGGTTCTGCTTAGTTTTTCTTATGGTGCTGGGCCGTATACAAGATCATATTCTTGGATACATAGATTCCAATAATGTGAGCCAGTCCGAGTAGACGTACCATTACCAAACATCTAATTACAAAATTAGCAAGGTATAATTTTTCGGTCAAGATTTCAGGAGCGAATTTTTAGCTTGATTTTCACAGTTGAATATATTTATTCTTCAACTTCTTCTCACCTGCGAGACCCGATCTCCAAGTAAATACCTGAACATCTAGCATATGGTATTCAATAAGTTGATGATATTATTGGAGATACCACGTTTGCTTTCATTTGAAGGCAAGAATAAAGTGATAGCTGTGCCTATGTAAAAACTAGGTAAAATTTAAACCTTTGAAAATATGCAGCGTTTCAGGATTTAATTTATAAGCGTTTCAAGATGAAATTAGAAATCAGAGCTGGAGGACACATTGATCAGTTTAGGATTAAATACTAACTTTAGCTAATATATAATAAATATAACCGTACAATACCCCTATATTATTTCGATATGGATATTTTTTACATTTAGTTTCAGAATAGACCTACTTTTTCTCAAAGTGATTGTTGTTGTTATAAAAATAGTTTATTGTTTAGGCACTTTTATTTTAGCCATGCCTCAACAAAAGTCAACACAGTTTGCCCAAGTTAGGGCACAGCATCCAGCTTTCAGACAGACCAATCGACCGGGTAAAAATATAAATTACATACACAGTGTGGCAAATCATGAATTCAAAACAGCAGTAACCCTTGTATTAATGCACAAGAAACTAAACCATTAATATAACTGAGTTACAGCCGCATTGTTTACATACATATGGAAAGAGGGAGTACTTTGTAACTCATCAAAAGCGACGCCATACAATGACATGATTAATTATTCTCACTGAAATTGCTTTATTTTAAAACTCATCAAAATTCTCCATAAATTGTCTTTAAATAGTCGCCTGTGTTTATCCCTTTGTCAGGTATCTTTTAAAGCGATGTTTAGTATCTGCAGTAGCGAGATACATGCGGGTAAACTTGTCTTATGAACGTCCTTCCTCGAGGAAAACCTGTTACATGACAAATTTTCCTCGAGATTTTTAAATAAGCCTAATCGTAATGGACAAGTGGATTATAGGATAATTGTTTTCGAAACTAATCAAGCCACAGATGTCAGGCATGGACAGCTGCAGATGCAATAGTCGGCTAGGTATGTAGTATAGTAACGTTATAAAGTTACTAGGCAGCTCTTTTCGGGTAAGCTCCTTGACTATTCGGGCCACAAATATTTTCTAGGAAAAAACATTTCGACACACAGACAAGAAGAAGTGATCCATTATTATGCTTTTATAGCACTGAGCAATTATGTATCTATACACCATTACCACTTCTCTACCGCTGCTTTGGGACATTGCTAACACCCTGTGACTTGACGAGACGCAGCTTGCGGATTTATGTGATATTATTTCGCATGCCACCTAAACACAAAATGCTAACCAAAATCATATCAAATAACTATATCCGCAAAAAAAACAGACTGATTCTCGTCCGTCGAAAAGAGACTCGTCCGTAGCTTGGTAAATTCTGAATATAAACCATACACACACGTACCCCAGTGCTTCACTTCCGTCTCTGTATCCATTCAATAGCTGTCTATACTTAGTGATGGCACGCGTACAGCCTCAAGAGATCTTGCTTTATATAATAAACTCGCTAGTCCGGTCAAAAGCAACCAGACTTACTGTCAAACGTGTATTTACTTTATGACTCTGATGGTGATGCTGATGACTAAGACCGAACAGTCATACAGATTTTTTTTTACAGTTGAGCCTAGAGCAAGCTTCTCGCTTTTTCGTTCTGCCACCACAGTGAAAATAATAAACTTAAAAGTTATACAAGATACAAAGTACAAGGAACATTGTCTTGCTGATTTAGTCTATATTTGCTGAGCAATGTAGACACCTAAACATCATACTGTATATTGCCAGAGCTAGGGATTAGTCTGTCATATCGTCTCGGTTGGGAAAACCTTAGACCGCTCCGACACGCCAAAGCAATTAGACCTGAGGGGGTCGACATTACAACAAATACTGTTTGTGTTCAGTGAATTGTATACGACAAAGTTAGCACAGAAATCATTAATTGAATCGATTCGCCTTAGCCCATTATCTTTTCCAAGCCTTCACAGCCCAGTGCCTTAACCATCATGAAAAGCCAGGTCAACTTACTTCTAATCGAATTCTCATTGCCACAAGGACAACTATGGGCCCACTCTCAGTGAATACCTACAGTCTATAACCACTACTAGTTTCTATTATAGTAACACAGCAGACTACGTAAGCGGCCGCGTCGAAACAATCATTTCCATTGTCTTTTCGTGAGTCAATCATTGTCAGCATCAACTGCATTTCAATCGGACCGCTAATTTATGACCAATATGCGCACGTCAATTCCCACCTTTCCGAGGGCCAGGCACAAAGTGGCGAGGAGTACCCACCAGACAAAAAGAACCATCACCACCACTGCTACTACTACTGGTAATAGGTTACAAGAAGCAAGCGCGCCTAAATTCTGCTGCCATGCCTAACACCTGTAACAGATGAGTAGGACCTGTCAAACCTTAAGCGACGCTTGTCAGATATAGTTGAGACCCACCTTTCGAACGCTGTCCGCCACTCTTTCGATTGCGACCCTTGTTTCGGCGACTTCGTGAATTTGTCCACATCTTGTCGTTATTTTGTTGTACTAATCACTGCCGACTAAAACTCTATGGTCTGTGCGCCAACACTCTGAGACTAACTACTGCCGGACCTGAGAGTTAGCTCATGGTCATCGTAGATGTGCAAAATAATTTCAGATATCTATTTCTTGTTACACATTTAGGGACAGATATAAACATCCAGTGAGAAGCACGCACGGCTAGGAATTGGGTATCTTGGTGAGCGACAACTGGTGCTGCGTGCGTGTGAATTGCCACTTTAGTGGAACATTAAATTAGCCGAAAGGTCACCATTGGACCGTGTATTTATTTTATGCATAGCATATATAGGTATGAATGCTGAATATAGTAGGCGGTATCATGCGAACGGGAGTAGCAGCTGTAGCGTTAGCTGCACGATCGTACCACCGATCGTTAGAGACCGATCATTCATCCAACAGAGCGAGTCACCGATACGGCTGTTGCCGATGAAGGATTTCCCTTTCCCACCCAACTGGCCGAAACCAAAACAACACAGACGAGATGGCTACAGGAAACCACTGTATACGACTAGTTGCATTGTCTATTTCGCATCTTCGTTCGGCTGCCTCTGTCATAAACGAACCAATGGCAATGTGTGGCAACGTCAGCTGACATGGGCCGGAACCTTCTGTTTTGTCGTTGCTAGCAGATGAAAGGAATGTCGCTGATCGCGGTGATGATGATCATGATCTGTGTTGTCTGTTTGGTTCTCCGGCGGTGCAGCAGTTTCGTGAATTCTCACAATGTCAATGAATTGTAAGAAGAGATCGCCTTGCGAGAAAGGAGCGTGTTTTGTCCATGGCGATTACCGTATATCAATACTATATGATATTAGACTGAGCTAGAGTAAATTTATTTTCATATTAATTCTCTTTTCAGTTCAGGCATTGAAGCAATGCGTCTTACAGGACGATAGCGGTTTTAGACGAATTTCTGCCGTCGAATGGCAATAATTGTTATTACAGAGCTCGGCTTCGTTTCCAGAAACGATAAGCGTGTAAAGAGAAATAAAAATATCAAAAATGTGCATGAAGGAAGAATGGGCACATCTAAATAAACTCAGCAAGTTGTGAAAATAGTCACATTGGTTGTGTAAAACTTCAAGATATATTTTTTGTATCTACTTGTCATGCCGAAGCGGAGAACTAATAATAGGATAGTGTCGTAGCAAATTTTCTATGTCCATATTTTATATATCTGACTATGGTCACTTCCGGAGCGTATGAGTTGTTTTTGTTGTTTATTCGCGAGCCAACGCTTCTTCTGGTTGCTCTTTCGTTAATAATAGTTATGAAACGATTGTACATGCGAAAGTTCTCTCAATTAAGCCAACTTAATTTTTTTAATGTTTGTATTCTTTCATAAGAACTTTCAGCCTGCGGCAAAGTAATCGCGAAATGGTTAAAGCGTTTTGTATGACTCTTACCAAATCAGTCTACTTATAGGCCTGGTAGTCCCGACCGAGCGTATGAGATTTAAGCTGTTACAAAGAAGCATTTCATAGTGTCTATTAAGCATATTGCAAGTCGCCTAATTGCATAGGTGAGCAGTGATCACTAATCTTTCTAAAAACGGAGCAACACTTGTAATATAATGGTGAGCTCGTTCTTGTTATTAAGGAGATACGCACGTTTATCGATACGTTAATAACAGACATACAGCACTAAACCATATGTTATTATGATGAATAATCTTAATGACTTTTTAGCTGATTTGCTCATGTGTAGCACGATTGAACCTCTAGTTGTAAATTATTTCCTTTAACATGAAACAATTACGAGAAAAGACCGTCTTGCAAGTAAAGAGCATACTTTTAATTTATAGGAAAAAGAGCTTATTAAATAATAACCAAGGTATCGTTGTTAATTAAAAATTCGCGAATATATGTCCATAGAAAGAAGTGCGTTACGCTTACCGGCCATGATGTCCTCAAGTCATATTTAATTATTATTACATAGAAGTTAGTGTTGGCGTGGAATACGCTAACCAATGACTATGGTTGGAGGTGGGGGGCGTCAGAAGTTCTACATTTCTATAATATTCTGCTCAAAATCTATAATAGATAGTAAATAGGTCTGCATCCATGTTGTCCGTGAATATTACAGGGTCAGCGTTTTGAACGTAACCGAGAACGACGGATGCCTTTAACTCTGAACTGTTGATGACTTCACCCATCTCAACAGCTTTATAAAGCAACGACTATAGGTTAACCTATAGCCGAAGTGGCGGTTTTTAATAGTGCAGTTGTGGTGGAAGTAGCTGTACTGGGATAATCGACAATGAACAAAATTACTTTGCTACCATTTGGGCCTGTTGAAGAAGGCCTAGAAGAGTCCAGCAAGTCCCCCATTGACCGGTCCTTGAAGCAACAACAAGCGGGTATTTTTGTATTATATGTGGGATAACCCAAATCGAGGCTAAACAAAGCATATGCTCCAAAGACTGATGTATGTTTTGCACTAGATACAGTTTGCTTAACATAGAAAATTACAATTGTTTTTTAAAATTTTTTTTCTAATTTAACTAAAGACTCAAAATATATGGCAATTTCAACTTACAATTGGCCAAAAAATGTGACAAATGCAGTGTTCTTCAAACCAACTTAATAGGTCTTGAATGCTACCCTAGTATGAATCCTACTTGACGTAAAAGTGTTTTTTGGTATGACGTTCGTCGTGTCTGATGGATAATTATCAGATATTTGTCAGAAAGCATTTGAAATCGAGAATCATGCTTGAATCATCATGTTTGCAATCTAACAGGAAACAACCGTCTTCACGTAGACGTTTTATGGTGAGATTAGTGACTCTCTAGATCTAAACTAAAAGTTACCTAATTTAGAGGAGTTCCATAAAGTAAATTAAAATATATTAATCTACAACTAATTTATCAAAACATAATGGAAATAACGCCAGAATGCTTAAGTTTTTTCTCGCGTCTATCCAAATTGTACACAGAATGCTAAAAAAAAAATAACTACACGGCTTTAAGACTTTGACCTTCTACATTTTGATTTTATAAAGGCTCGATGCTTTGTCGGTTTTCAAGGTAATCTAATTTCACATTAAATGATCATTAAACTAATGATTGCTATTCGCTCAACGTCAGCCGATGACTTCCTAAGGAATCGTTGTGTTGTGTCGTCAGACGAGTGTTAGTTCAAGGAAGAGTGTACTAATTTTGTGAAACATTCCTGTTTGTACTTGATCCATAGCTATGCAATTATAGTTTTTTTAGCTTTACTTAAGTCGCATGCTTTGCTGTGGCTGCCCCTTGTATTATTCCGCTCTTTTTATTACGACATAATGACATAACATGAGCTGAATCAAACTTAATTTTTTTGGGGTAAGAGGTTTAAGCTCTGCCTTGGCGAATGAGGAGGATAGCACGATGGCTTACGCTTGTTAAGTGGCTAAATGATGGATTGTTTCATTCGCATAAAATTGTGCAAACACGTGGATCGTTAGGAAGCCTGATATTTAACTTTAATAGCAATAATTGTCGTCCTTCAAAAGATTTCTTGATAGACTTCACTTCGCTCTTAGAAAAATGAATGATAAGACAAAGCTGATTACTTCTACATATTTTGTTGCTGTAATGAGCGTAAATGCTCTTTTTTTTTGCTAACATTTTTATTGCAAATAACTTTGCCAATAAGTTTTGGGCACTTGAAGCGAAAATTAAGTTGTCCCTTCGAATTTCGTTTGCTTTTAATCTTAGCCTCGTATCTGCATATCGTTAGCGAACTGTATTACGCGCAATTGCATGTACTATACTAGTACTATTATAGGATATTTAAAGAGACACTTGTTTTTCTTGTCGTACCTCTGTTAATGCAAGTGCCGTCTTCATCTACGGCCCTGTTGCGCCGATTGGTAGTTTCTGACCCAATTGTTCTCGTCACCACCTTACACAACGATGCCCACAAAGGACTCACTTTGCCAAATCTTCGAAAATCCAATTAGAACGCCGATATTGGGTACAGTTACAGTTTTATGCTGAGAATACATAAGCCGATGTAGAGACAAAATTTCGATTTATGGTTTGACACTGTAGCAGTAGCGATAGATCTCGGTGAACTTTAGCGTGGGATCGAGGTTTCCAAGGCAATTATTCCTCTTCCGGCCGGTAAAAGAATGGACAAATTACAAACAGTCGTTTCATATCTACCGCTCTTCAGTCTGTATCGAATCGAACTAAGTACTCAAACTTGCCAGCTGATGTTGCAGTTTTTCAATGGTTTGTTCTCTGCTCATTCAACTAACTTTAGTACCGGCTCACTTAGTTTGAATATATAATATTACTGTCACTGTTTCCGCTTTTAGAGCTGATGCCACTGTGTTGACCTCCGTTAAAGGTGGCAGCAATCAAGCACAGAAAAACGTCGAAAACGCAGTAGCTCCGAATGTGCACTAGCAAAGTCGTTCATGCGCGTAAAAAGCGCTCTGATGAATGCCAGCGTGCTGAGCTTTTCGCTCTATGTCTGCGTACGTATACACTTCTCTCCGTTGTGTGTGTGCCTCCAAGGATCCGATTCTGTTCGATCCGTCCGAATCGACGCGTTGCGCTGGGGCGAGCGTCGCAAGCATTCGAAGGTGGTTGCGTCTATCCGCATCATGGCAGTGAGGTAAGGGCTGTCTTGCCAATGCGATTCAGTCTCTCGCCAAAATGCTCATTCGCCAGGCCTATCTCGTCATATCAGCTGGCGAATTTTTTCCGCCTCGGAACGAAGGTATCAGAACATCCGGTGTTGTACGGATATCGCTGGTGTCAAGTCAGACTTGAAACGTCGCGGGCAACAATTACGCTACGGTGTTTGTAGGCATAGCTGGGAAGAGGGAGTGAGCGCTGAGGAAGTGACACTGCGACGTTAAAACAAAAACGCACGAGGGATTAACCCTGATGAACCAACAAGTTGGTTTGCTGGACAGCCAGAATAAACCCCAGCTGGCCGGTATCTACGATAATCATGGACATGTGTTTCCTGAGGTGGTACTAGACTTTTTTCTTTTTTCCTATGCCTCCCTTTTTTGACATGGAAAAAATCGTTTGATTAGGGACGTTTTCAGCGTAAGACAGCAATTAGTCTACGCGAATATAAATAAGATCGCGCTCACAAGCATATGGAGATATCAAGTTGCTCTATAGCGCAAGTCTGTTACGTAAAACAGAGACATGGAAATAGAGAAGATCGGTGGACGGAACCAAAGGTCAGGCTGTGGGACATATATATTAAGAAAGAAAAAAGGCGCGATAAGACGGAAGTCGTTGGTAGCCATCATCTTATAGAGATGCACGACCACTCCGCCATCGTTCACGATTCACTTTTCTTGGGTACAGTTTAAGTCTGTTTAAGCTTATTGCTTACCGCACAATGTCTATTAGTCTGTCGTGTCCACGAAAAATGGCTGTGTGGAAAGGGGACAGGAAAATTTGGCAAGTTTCATTCACGTCATCCAACGAAAAATTACTTCCTTTTAGCACAAAGAGCAAAACTTTCCACAATTCTAGTACCACTGAGCAAAAAATTTGTGTGTAGGGGAGGTAAGAATCTAATTTCTAAAAGTTGCAAAATATCCTTAAAATATTACCTTGGATCAATAGAATGATCTAATCAAATGTCCGAGAATGGATAAGCGGTATAGGATAGATCGTAGGTGTTTGGATGAAAACTATGAAAATTTAACGTGCTTATATAGCACAGCTGATCGTAGTGAACGTATTGTTTGCTCATTATTAGATAGAAAATGAATAATTTGACCGAGCCAAGTAGTATTAATCGCTTGTTAGATTAGGTAAATTTGTATTTTAGTAAGTTGCAATTAATTTTATAATACAGCGCTGTTTTTGAATAACCGATAGGGGTAAGACATACGCTGAAAATCCTGAGTTTCTTGAACGATATCCTGAAGTTACGTCGTACGTTTGAAAATGTGCCGTTACGACCAGTAATTTTATCACGCATTCACTCATGTGAGCCTAAATTTAACTGCATCGACCGGTTCTTTATGCTAGCTTAGCTAGCCCAACCTTTGCTTTCAATAGTTTGAAAAGAAAATTGGGTGTTAAAACTACGATAAATAAGTTATAGTACAGTGTTTTTTGCCTATTTCATAGCGCCCCTTACAACATATAACTTGTTCATTTGAAATGGGATCAATATAAAAGTAAGTTTTCTTAAACCGTAAATGTTTACCATGTTCGTCGTGCAGTTATACGAACGACTCAGACCTATGAAAAGTGTCGCTTCTTCGCCATCAAGGGGCACCAGCCCGAAGCTTCTGGATGGTAAAAACGCGATAGTAAGGACGAACTGCTGTCGTCATCCGTATGTGTAGAAATTATCGAAAACGATCAGGCATCGTCACACACAAGTATCGCCTGAGCGTAAGTTTCGCTCTATAATTCTGCTTCAGACCGGATCGTGATCATTTTTAGATTTCACATCCGTTTGTTGCCAGACTGTCGTCACACGAATTATTACTGACCATCGGCCGTAGTAGCTGTAAGGCGCTGTTGATCTGCTTGAATTTTTCTTCCTTTTTTCGCATGTCAAATTTTAGTTATTAAAGAAGCTGTGTGGCGCTTAATTTTAAAGTAGTACCCCATTATGAACTAAATATTACTTGTCCAACGTGATCCTTACTGCTGTTCAGCTTACAGATATTACCGTAATAAAATTTGGTCTTTCTATTTTTTAAGCAGTGTGCAAATAGTGAAATTACCTCGATCAGACTGTATCCATCATAATTTCGTTTATTTCTTCTATTCACCCACCGTTTCAGACTCAAGGCAGACAATATATTTTACCTAACAATATATCGCAGACTTTCAGCCTGCGATTTATTGTGATCACAGGTCTGCAGTCCATTATCATCGAATGACAAAATGATTTCTATGAAGACAGTTCACTGAGTTGACTTGTGTCTGCTCTATGTTCAATCCTGTTCCGTAGAAGGGCCGTTCGACGGTTAAATTTAGACTGCGCTAGAAATAGCTTGTTTATTAATACAAAATGGAGCAAAAGCTGATATAAAAAATCGTTCACTGACTTTTCGTCCACAGCTAAATTCGTACCGCGTATTAGTCGTGGTAACCGTAAATGTTGGTCGTGGTCGGCAATGTAACTGAGCCAGGCTAACCTTTGTTGAATACGACCGAAAGGCAGTTTAGCAGATGATTCACTGCTTACTTCGTACGGATCGCCCGCTTTACGTACTTGTAGATCTAAGCATTATAGAGATGTGACGATAGCGAGCAACATAATTCGACTTCCGTTTCGTAGGGCTTTTTACTTGAAACCATCCTGACGTGAATTTTCGTGGGCCTGGTGTAACGATTATGCACGATGCAACTCACTCTCGCCTATATTTGTATCTCATTTCAATTAAACTCGAAGCGCCACTTATTTTAGATAAAGCTTCTAGGCTTGATAAAACATTTTAAATCATCGTGTTCATAGCCAGTTAAACCCTGTTACTGTAATTATTTGAATACTACAGCGAAGTATTCACTGTCCAAAGATCGTTTACAGGTAGTTCGTACATATGTTGCTCTAAGACAGTAGACTACAATTGTCAGCTCAACTCATTATAGTTACTCAATGTAATAATGAATTTTTAGGCTCAGTTAGTACAATCTGTCTACATCTATTGCGGAAAGTTGTCACAACCTACAAAGATCATTACAACATATGGCTCGATTCGTTCCATGCTTGCTGGAAAAACTCAAGCAAGAGATTTTCTGGAAACGCTAATGAAACGTCGAGCCAAATAAATGCGTGCGTTAGACAACGCGCTATCAGTCAAACATAAGCGATGGAATTGTCGCCTTGAGCTAGTCTCTAGCCAGAACTCGAAAAAAGGTCAGAACCAACAGTGGGAGAGCGAATCAGCTGGCTGCTGTCAGCTATCATCTGAGGTCATCTCACTTATTAATTAAAGCTGTTCAATGCTCCGCACTGCCTCTACGAAAAATAATTTCCTCTTTTGTTTATATTTAACTTATACTCGTAAAAGTCGACAACTTCAAGCGTTTTACTGAGGGAATCATAAAAGTGTATATATTTAATAATAATAATCATATTAATATATATTTACTAATTTATATATTTTTTATTCGAAATAAGCAGAGCGCATCTGCGGTACACTGTAGGTTGCTATAAATGATATAGTAGTTCGCTTTGTTGCTTCGCATATGAAGTAACGATAAATTCCATAACAAATTATTTAATGTAAAGGATGTTTCGGTTCTGTGTTGACCACTTAGCCTGCCTGGACTCTAATGTATGTTACACACGAGGTAGCTAAAATTGTCCCATTTTAATCTAAAACATTACTCTCTATGTCTTATTTTCAGTGTGCTTCACCGGCCTACACAATGAACGTATTTTTTGCCCCATGCACCTATACTATACAAGAGATGTGGTCACGAGAAGTGGTTTTCGTGTATCGATACCAAAAACGCTAATTAGTTTAGGATATGTTTCATATCTCTACAACGAAACAATGCGTTGCTTAGTTTCTAACAACACTATAAATAATCATGTAGCAAAAATGGCCACATGTTCATTTGAATAATGTAGTAGACGAAGTATCTGCTACATACTGGTGGCTTTGCATAGATGCACACGGAACATAGGCCCCTGCTCACACAGCCAATACAGGCACTCGAAATAAAATCTTTTTTTTTTTCTTTTGAACAGATTCATAAGTGTAGTAATTTCATTGGTTTGTAGTTTTATCAAGAGTGTAACGTTCCATCCATGAACAAATATTTTAAAAAGAATCTATTTGTGATCCGTGATCAATTGATGGACAACAGATTATGTAGTGGTTGCGATCTAAAATACGGGATGCAACTGCGTGTTAGAGTAATTGTTAGATAAAGCTGAGCTCGTATCGGCAGGGACCAGGTAACCAAGAGGTCATAATCGATAGTCACTGTGACACCAAGTTGATTGACTTTTTTAAGTCTCTAGTTTTTTTTCGTTTTACAGTCTGCTCCTTATTTTGTCGACAACTCGGCTTAATTTCTTATAAGTTTATTACGTCTCACCATAATGAAACACCAGATAACTTTAGTTTTCATGGATTTACTTCATGGATTTATTATTTAGCCTAACAACTAAACTCAATTTGTGTGTACATTTTAAAAAGTGAAGGTCTGCATTCATTTCTTATCACATGCTCTAAATATCAAAAAATCCTTTAAATACTCGCACTAATATTATTTTAGGACGATAGAATTAAAAAGATTAACAAAAAATTGTGCGCACAATAAGCTAACTTTACTGAAGACAATTAATCCATTAAAGAGATATTCTTTTAAACGTTTACTCGCCTTTGAAGTGACAACAGTACCTGAAGGACATGCAACAAAAATGAAAAAAAAAGCTCAAAATGCGCGGTACATTTTCACTAAAGTGGAGAAGTGCCAAAAATGAAGCAGGAAAAAATAGGCTCATGGAATAAATTAGTATTTTTTTGAGTTTACATAGATTATCTAAATTTACTGGTCCACATGGGGTCCCCAACTATAAAGATCGTATGTACACGAAGTCCAGTATCTTCTTTTTGTACAATCTGAAAAGCTAATTATAGCATACAGCTGATTAGAACCAGTGCAAAAGATCTCCTCCCATTTAAAATAAAAAAGAGAAAAACATTGCAGGAAATCTGTTCAAGTTATAGCCCTTTTTGATATAAGCACTTATTCTAAGCAGTTGGAATTGTCTCCGTGAGATTGCTACTGGAACGCGTACCAATTGCATGCCTGTAGAAACGGTCTATTCTGTTGATGCTCGACAAATAAAGCGATGATGAGCGAACGCGTGGGCCTGCTACTTTTTTGAAAAACATGATGTAAATTCGAAACGTTCCTAAAAATTCTTTATTGCAGCAAAAGTTCATTGAAGCAGTCGAAAATTGGTTAAAGTCCTACATAATAGGCAGCATTTAATAAACCGCAGTGATTAGAGCGAAAATAATTAACCAGCTCCTCTTCGTTTTACACCACGGTCTGTATATTGAAGCCCTTTTCACCTGAGCATTAATTGCTTAAAAAAACAAGACAACAGCAGATATTAATTGCCCGGCCGAATGAAACATTCAACAATACATACAACAACGGCTGTAATGAAAGGGCTTTCTTTGTGTTTGATAGAGTAAATTGATCTCTAACTTTCGGTTCGTATTTACTACTTTAACTGTAAGTGACGTGAAAAATGCGAACGCTGACATCATTTGTTCACTGCTGCAGGACTCAATCAGAGCGATTTAGATGTGATTGAACGCTCCGATGACTAGTATGAAATTAATGGATCATATCTCTTCGTTAATAATAGAAGTATTGCGATCGATCCTTTGTGTCGCTCTGTTTTATTGCGCTGATATTATTTCCGAGCATATGCTACTAAATCGTATGCAATCGTACGTAGTCATAGATAATGCCAGGGGTTCCTATGTTTTTTTTGGGTAGCTCTATTTCAAGTACAAATAGTTATAAGAGCTTTCTCCTCTGAAAAGAGAACGACGCTAGATTTCCAATCGCTTATTAATATTAGCTTCAGTCTCTCGTATTTTGCAGTTGTGAAGGCTGTACATTCTTTAATTCACGCGTTCATCTCGACTGATGCTCATTTTTTTTTAATAGATCCATACAAAAATGATAATCAAATAATCATGCCTGCATCAGTAGTGACAACTGGCCAATCTTTAGCATTATCAATATCCTTAATTAAAAGGTTATCAGACATAATGATACCCACTCGGCTTCCTGATTCGAACTCCTCCACAAGTAAACATCCGACATAAGAGGTCGCTGCCTCCCTGCTAAGTGAGTTGTAGTCAGTATTAGCGGTGTAACACATTGTTTTTACACTATGTACTCTTCAGTATCGGCTTTCCAGGTAGTTAGGCTCTGCCGCAGAATTGTGGTCAGGTTAACGTGATTTGAATCAGTGCTTAGGAGCAGTATTTGACGTAAAACTCGAAACACCTTAGCTAGTGTGACTGTCGGCAAGGGACGAAAAGAAAGTCTTTGTATCAATAATGCAGAACCATCCCTTTGTCTAGAGTGGAACTATATTTGGAAATTATTGAACAGAAGGATGTGTCCTTAAGAGGTCATAACAAAGGTTCACTTTAATAGCCGAAACAAATTAATACTGCTACCGGCAAATCGGAAGTCGCTTCGAAAATAGTAATTAGGACGTAGTGTCATTACCTGGAATTGCAGTTCTCGCACGTGTGATTTTTTTAACATTACCCGTGAATATTGTCATGCCGCAGGTATCATTGATGCACACACGATTGTTAATATACAGAGTCGATTAACTGCAATTTGTCGATTACTTGAAATAGGTATGTATCTAAGTAACACCGATACAACTGGTCCACATACGCTTTGGGGGATTAAAAATGCTGTATCTTTTGCAACGGTGTTTCCAACACTAAACAATCGTGGAATTTTGTACAAAATTATAGGTCGAGTAGGCTATTTACGTCCTTCCACGCATCCGTGTCTAAAGAGGGCTAAAAAATTTAGTTCTGTGGACTGATATCAGCTAAGGAATTATTCATATTGGGTCTACTATATGAGTAAATAACTTAATGGTTTCTGTTGTTATGGGGAGGATTTTGCATGTTTTTTTTTTCAAAACAAATTCTATTGCAAATTATGGTTATGACATCATTAACAAACAATGGAGTTGTCTGCGCTGTTAAGCTCTAAGGATTGGCTAAGGGATTAGAGCAGCATGACCATTTGAACGATGTCCCGATGACGAAAACCCATGGTAAATGTACATATTTTTTTAAACATTTAACAGTTTCGTAAATATTTACCTGCGAAATTTGCGGCATAGCAGACGTATTGGATTCGTAAATACTAAATGAAGTATTTCTTCCGTATCAAGCCTGTCGACTTAATTGCAACTGAATCGCGTCGGGCTTAAGGCTGTAGTGGTTAGCAAATGCCGTTAGAAGGTTCCTCCAATCATAATCTTATAGTAGATGTCGACCAAAATACCAGATTTGGCCTCAGATGGGTGAAATAAATTATCATGGTAAGGGTGATGTATATATTTTCGTTTATTGAATTATCTTACAGACACTCAAGTTGAAACCATTGTTCCTAGATCATGTCAGGAAGAAGTTCGATTTAAAAAATATACAATGTTGCAATTTTATATCCTTCTCCCTACCCGTTCCATATGTCAGTTAATAATTTCATCTTGCGATCTTTCCCTGCTATCGGTTTTACTATAATTATTTTGAGAACTTACAAATATTTACTTAAGCAATCTATTCCTGTCCAACACGTTTCTGTTAGATGTGCTATTCCTACGACGCGTGCCGGATGCTTTCGAAATAAAAGTATTACAAATATTTATCTTTCTTTATTTCTAGGCCCGCCATTTTCCGTTTAGTTTAATTTGTTCTTAAACTACTATATTGATCATCTAAAAAACCTACAACTGCCAAAGCTTCATTCCACCGAAACATTACAAATTGTGTAATGCTGATTTATCTTTTCAGCTCAGACGCGTCAGTCGTAAAAAACCTTACGCATTCGGTTTCATTTGTCAATACACTTGCACACATAGGGTGATTAACTCAAAGCTGTCTACTGCCTATGAGCGTATTTGCCTATGTACAACGACTACGAATGACAGATTTTTGCTAGCAAAAGCATGATTCGACAGTCATGACCCGATCGTCAGGTTCAATCCCGCCTCATTTATGTATGCCAGCATTGGAGATCATTTCGATCCTTGTTAGTATTTTCCAGCGTTGCCATCGCCTTTACCGGTCGTTGTTGACGAGGCTTCCATGGTAAAAAAACCGTGCTCACTCTTGAATTTTTCCACGTTCGTGATAATCTGGGTGGGCTGAACACCTTTTCCGGTTTCGCCCGGCTGTTGTCTCGATTCAACGTTAACAACAAGCTGACGAAGTTCGGGTGCTTCGCGGACGATGAAACGAGTATAGTATGACAGGACGTCGTCTTTGCTCAGCTGGGCGACTTGTTCCGCTTCCAGCTGTTCGCGGTTAAATAGGTACGCCCGCGACGAAATTTCACGCCACAAGCTAAAATCAGATAGGAGGGCATGCAGTAAGCAATAAAGTGTTAGTTAGCAAATGCTAATAGGATGGCGGCATGCTTAAGTTTTGTCGACTCGAAGTCGAAAGACTAAAACAATCACGCAAATAGTACCATACCTACTGGATGTTAATATAACATGATAACTCAAAGCACTTACATTCTGGTCTTGTCGTAGAGCTTCTTCGGCTTTTCAAGCTTCAAAGCAATAAGTGCTTTCTTGAACCTTTCAAATTCCTCGAACGACATTTCTTTGAGATGCTTCTTCATAAACTCGTTAAGGAACACATCGATACGGCTGGAAACGAATGACGGGTTCTTATCCGACTGGACAATTACACGCATTCCTGAAAATCGATATATGCGTAGCGTATATTTTAGATATCGTGTACGGGCGACACAGTGAAAAATGTAAACCAAAGCGTCTAGGGGCAATATTAATGCGGTGACCTGTCATAACAGGAGAAATTTAATGGTAGATATTTTTGTAAATGTTAGCTTCTTAAACTATGTAAAAGTCTCGTTGGTACTACTTGTAATATTTCTTCATGATGACCTTTGTGCTCTCAGCAGCATCAATGAATTGTAAAAGTTCATATTAACCCAACAAATCGAAAAACTTGCAACAGTTACAATCAACCCCCAACTGAAACACACATGGATAAAATTTCTGGCTTACCGTAAGTGTCAAGCATTTTCCTGTGCCCGCCTGACACAATATAGCCGAGCTGCTCCTTGGTCCTCATCTCGTTAAAAAAGGGCTCTTCAAATATTTGGCAAAACAAATCATTGATCGCTGTTGTTCGTATATTTTCAGGGGTAAGTGCCCCTATTTGATAGTAGGCCATCACGGAATTTGTTGGGTGAATTTCGTTGTATCGATCCAACTGATAAATTTCGCCATCGCGCAATTTGTATTCACGGAAGCTCTTCGTTTCATCAAATGTTAATGGGCCACCTATAGTTTACGATGTAACAAAAATGGTTGTCCGACTTTATTGATTATGATTAACTTCATTAATGAAGTAACTATAAAGCGAAAAATGTATAGTTTGTGCTTACTGCTTTGTGCTTTAGTTGGTAAAGCTAATTATTAGCTGGAAAATTAGTAGCTTCTAGATTCTTTTATCCCTTAGGGCCTCTGTTCCTGAACAATTTAGTCAATCATTGTTGCTCGATCGAAAAGAAGTTAGACTATTGCGTGAAGGAATGCGTAAATAAATGATAACGCAATAATATTGATTGGCAATAAGGTACAGATTGCTAATGATTAATGCTAAGGGAGAGTTTTGGAGTGCAAGCGGTTTTTTTCTGTATTCGTTGAATGGTAGGAATGATGAATTAAGAACTAAAAGAGTTTAAAAACTGTTTCAGTTCTTAATTCTAATAACCTAGCAATACATTTCTCGTTTTTTTGGGTAGCATGCATTACAGATATTCAAGTTTAGAGAATCAGGTTTACGCTAAATTACATCTTAGTTCTGCATTGAGCAAACACGTAAATGACGGTACATCAAAACGCATCATGTCATCACAAACATTCGTTTCTGTTATTGAAATAACCATAAGATTTTGTTAATAACTATTAAGTGAACACAGAAACTATGTAGCTATACTAAAATAGACCTTGTATAGCCATGATAAAGATGTGCATTGCAAAGTTGCCATCAGCACGACTACACATAGGGAACTAGATGAGGCATTGTATCCAAAATCATAATTTATCGATAAACATATAGCCCTGAATTCTGACACACACAAGAACAAGACAATGCATTATTTTCAAGTTTTCGTTATTTCTCTAAAATCATTCGAACAAAAACGGCTTTAGTTAATGAGGAGTAGGTTAATGTGTTTTGAAATGATCTAAGGATAAGCACAGCGGCACTATGAAACTTTCGTAAATGTCAGTAGCAGCCATGAGTACTCACTTTTTAGCACCCTTCGAATAGTATCTCCCATTTTTCTCGCTTCATCGACAGTCATATTTCCATGTATAAGTGTCTCTACATACATTTTCTTGAGAAACTCCTGAAGAAAGGCTTCGCAACGCTCTAATGTACACTCTTTTTCTGCAACGGCCAGAACTTGTTCGTGCGTCCAGAACTTCTCGGTAAGAGCCATGTTCGTGTAGAACACTGCTTGTTGATACGGTTGTTCGGCGGCGAAGTTCTTCAAGTTTCGGATGTACGCCTCCTTGAGGATATCGAATCTATTAGGATCGAACTTGAAGTCGACCAGTCTTTCGCAAACCCGCTCCAAAATAGCTTGTTGGCGTTCATTGTATCCGCGAATCTTCAATAGAAATCCGTTCATATTGTTTTCAAGATGGTACAAACTGCCAGCAAGTACTGCTGGATAAAAGTACTCGTTGTTGGCATCACTGAAACATGCCGTGATCATATAGGCTAGCGCGCTACTGATCGGACTGTCGTAAAGCATCGGAGATCGCAGTTCGAACATGGCCGTGTTTGTGGGTAGATTGTACTCTTTGTCTTGCATGTACCAAATTCGGCTGTGGGATTCGTCAAGGAGGAGGACAGGGGACTTCGTATACTTGGGGTTCTCAGGCACCAATGAGAAATTAGTCGGAATAAACTCGTTCGGAACCGGCAGACTCAGCTCAGCGTCGGGTTCGGCGGTTCTCCAAGCATTAATTTTTGCCTCGGGAATTTTTTCCACCGTGTACTCAGTTGAGTAATATTTCTCTACCTTATCGGTTTTGCCCTCAAAACTTTTCGAAACCAGGGCGATACGAACCTTTTCAGGAACAAGGTGGGACATCAACTCGGAAATCAATTCGGGTTTGTAATCGTCGGCAACGTACGGCGCTGAGAGTATATCCTTCCAGTCATACTTGTGCATACAGTCTGTGAGTGACGGTACGTAGTGAATCGGCGTTTCCTTCGACTTGAACCGGAAACGCATAACACCAAGGTTCTTCAGCTCCTCGAACACCCAACTTTGTGGTCCTACCTTACGAAGGAGATTCATGTACTGAAAGACGGCGCTGGCTATTTCGTCTGTGTGCTCTAAGCCTTCAGGTGTCAGGTTTATCAAAATGGAGAAAAAACTGAACCCGCGACCGCCCGATTTGACACCGCCAGACAGCGCATTTGCCCACCTCTTTCTTTTTAGGTATGATAGCAGACTTCCTTCCCCTTCATGGCCGACCAGGTGGCTCACGTAGTGGCCGGGGTTCGTTCGATATTGTTCGCGCATATCGGGTACCGGAAAGGTGATTGCCATATGCCGGATATCCTTGACGGGTACGACCTTGGCCTGAACGCGTACCTCAGAATCGGTAAACGGATGATCGGGCCATACCTGTGCAGCGATGTTTTTATTCTTTACGCCAGCAAACAGGTCGATAGCGATATCCGCTAAGTCGTCGAGGCTTTCTTTACCCATGAGACAAACGCTCATAAGGTTAGATGAGTACCATTGCTCGTGGAAATCGAGTAACGCTTTACGAACGTCAATGCCCTCTTTGAGCGGTACAGTCTGAAGCGTTTCGCGGTTGCCGGTGCCAAACTTGGAAAAGTCGTGTTCGGGGTTTCCTGTTGCACTATCAAGCATCCACAAACGCCACATATCCTGCTTAATATTCTTTGAGTGCTCACTGTCAATGGCGTTTAGCTCGCGGTCGGTGCAACTCTGCTCAAAGAGAGGTTCGAGAAAAAACTGCGCGAAAATATCGGCTGCCTCCTTGAAATTCTCCGGTGCCACGTCGAAGTAGTAACAGGTGTGATCCAATGACGTGTACGCGTTTGATATCCCGGCATGTTCAGACAGGTATTCGTGGTAATGATTCTCACGAGGGTATTTTTTCGTTCCAAGGAACAGCATATGCTCGCAGAAATGCGCAAGCCCCGGCAGATTGCGTGGATCAGTCAAACAGCCTACCTGCACGTTAAGGGCAGCGGCCGATTTGTCCGTCGTCGGATCGGATACTACTAGAACCTTCAATCCATTCTTCAGCACCAAGCCACGATAGTCATTCTTGTCAGATTCGCTCTTGACTATGCTGTGCGTGCTTATAATCTGGTCGGCAAACTTCGGCATCATGTTCCACGCTATTTGCGAATTGTAATGAACGTAATTTAATAGCCCTGAGCTTGTCCACTGCCGGCCTATCCGCTGCACTCGTTGTCTACAAACTATTGAGCTAGCGGTTAGAAGTCGACGCAGGATCGGCATGCTAAGCTTGCAATTAGTTGATGGGCGTGCGGCACACAGCGACAACTTACTGATAGAGATAATCCTTAATCGGCTCACGCAAATCTGCTAACCGTCTCGGTGTAGATTTATAAACAGTAAATATGGCACGCCATTTACTGCCCCGCTACCAAGACCAGACGCTGTCACCTCTAGCCAGCAGAATCCTCCTGACACCAACTTGCTCGTCGTTGCAAAAGGCTGGGTGGTGCCGTCTGCTCTGAGCGGTACCAACCAACCAACCCAGAAATGGGATGAATTTCAGAGCGTTTCTGGGCTTCATGACGTTTCAAAAGACAAGTTTAAGAGCATGCCCTTACGACCGCGCGAAGATGGTTTGATGAGTGATGTCGGCGTTGCTGCAAACGTACATGTTTAAAGGCACGACTTTACCTGTAGAATGAGCTAGATGTAAAGCAAATAATATAATTGTGTTGTAATCATTATTTTCTTGCCAAAGTTCCTCATGTGCTCGCGTACTAAACCGGAAAGTGATGTATAGTTGACATTATTTTATTGCCCAATATAGTAGAAAGGTAACTTCAAAACTTCCCTACAAGTATTTCAAGATATAAAGTACTATAATATGTTTATGGATTTTTATACGATTATGGTTATTAGCGTGACCTGTTAATTCATCTGTGAGTGGGTCGATAAGTTGAAACAGTAGATACATGTAAAATATTTGAGCATTTGAGTTGTGATTAGTTTTATCATGAAATTTAAGTAGACTTCTAGACTTTTAAAGGAGTGTCTACCTTAAACCTGAGCAACAATCTACCTGCTCACATACATAGTAATGATTTAGTCACTCATGTATTTATTTTGGGTATGACAAAAGTCCCAGCGAAACGTATTAGGGCATCATTTCTCAACACGCTCGAGACGTATTTACCAGGTGCAGTTGGCTTTTTTTTAAATGCTATTATTTCCTCTAAAGCAAAAGACTAAAACAGAACACTGACCATAACTGTTCTTATAAAACTGGAGTTAATAAACAAATCCCATGAGCAATATAATAAGATGATAATAGAATCGGTTGTTCGTGTCGGCTGCTTCAGCAACGGTGAAATTCACGGAAGAAGTCTGGAAATATAATTTGTCGAAGTCTTGTGGCAATTATAAGAGTGACAAATAATTACCAAAATTGTAATCCACTAGCACTAATACTATTTACGAAAAAAAGCAAGACTTCATCAGTTTGTCAAGTTAAATTCTCGTCATTAAACAATAGAAGAGCTGTCGCATGTAGCCGTAAAAAAATTAAATGATTAAACCTTGAGAAAATAGTGGTCAAGGATACCAAAATCTTCAAGTGAGTCTTCTTAGATTAAAATTATTTATTATTTTGTTAATAATATTTAACTTCAAGCTTTTATTCGTAGAAAATGGAGCGTCGAGATCTCCCAATCGGCATTATCGAACGTGGCGTTATTGTTGATAAGATTTTAGTTTGCCAACAGATTACGTTCTTAGATATTTGACCGACAAAACATCGATTCTATAATGGCCCTTTTATAGCTTTATAGAATTATTTCCTTAGCAAAAATATGTTTTGCACACGATGTAATTGTACTTCAGACTGCCCCCGCACGCTCTTAGCCCATTTTTAAAGGATAATTACACATTTTCTTCAACAACGATGATTTCTCCCATTAACGACACGTTTTCTGTTTAACGCTATGTGAAGTCAATCCACAGTGGACCATAGATTAGTTAGAGGTTACGTGGGTATTTTCAGAATGTAATACTTTACTGACTCAGCCGTATGCAGTCGTTTTCTGTGTACCTAATCCATGTTTACAGAAATAATTAACTTCTAAAATTAGCCTGTCACGAAATTCAATGAACAAATACCTATGGTAGGCCCGACACAAATCTTATTTTATAATTACGCTTAAAAATACGCTTTATGTGAAACACGTTTGCGAAAACAGGAGTTTAGAATTCTACAAGCCCATAGTACTATTTTGTCGAGAGAAAATAAATGTGAATCCTGGGTTGAAGTTATATACATATATACTCCTTCCATGTCACTCTCTTGAAAAATCTTTATTTAAATATAAGTAAAGTATTTGACATAACATCCTGTGCCTTTATCCTGTGTAGCCCCATGCCGTATGGACGTGGAAGAGGCACGTTTCAACGTTTATACTATCACACAACTAGAGATATATTGTATATAGAAGCGAACCCCTTGTCGGTAATCCGTTCATTAACACTACTCCTTTATTTGGTAGTTTGCTTGTTGTCAGTACGTCGTTTTCATATAATGCTACCCTGTGCAATTAAATGAAAATGATTTATTTTTGGTACGCATACCTTTTAGTTAAATATATTCAATAAATCTACAGTCATTATCCAGTTTTTAGGGTATTTGTCAAATATCCATTTGTTTGATGTCTTGTTAGCTATTTAAAAGGCATCGTCTTTTAACAGACTCCTAAATCTCTTTTCGATTCGACATTTTAACAGTAAAGGTTCTAACTGCAATAATAACTCTGGCCTAAAGCTTCGCAAGCGGTAACGAGTTGACTTTTGGCTTGTTAAGAAATTCGGTCCACCATGACACTCTGCCCATATTATCGCCATCGACGAAGCCTTGCATTATCCGTTTGTAAATATCGCCGTCCGAGTGACCCAGTACAGACTGAAGGGCGAAATCTGGTGGGGCTATTGCGTCAGCCAAAGACACGGACTCGTCCTTAAGTATAGCACATAATGAAAGCAGTTGACTGCGCATTATTCCTGGCAGATCAGGGCCAGCAGTGAAGCCTCCAGCGTAAAGGTCTGTCAATCGTTTTTCAAGACACCAAAGGCCAAATGTCAACGTGATTCGAGTCAGAAGAACTCGTGGTACTCCTTTCACACAAACCTCTTCACATAGCCGGTCGAAGCGTTTTAGTATTACCATCTGAAATATGAAAAATACTACAGACTATTAGCGTATGTCAGACAGCATATAGAGCATCCAAGTTGAAGAAGCGGTCTTTATTGGATTAGCATATTCCAAGTGATTATGCGCAAATCACTTTATTTACTCAACCTATTGCATGGATAGATAAAAGCCGCCTAATACTGCAGCTGCACAAGACCATGAAAAACTGTGCCCTAATATGAAGCCGATGCGATTTGCTCATATTGAAATCGAAACTAATAAAATAAATTCAACATAATCACTTCACTGACCTCAATAAACGCGAGTGAAAGTTCTCTTGCCAGGAATACTTGAGTATTATTCTTTGCGGTCAGTCCATCGGCGTGTTCTCGATACCTCTCCAAAGCCAACTGCCACCGCTGAAGTAGATGGCACACAAGCCATTCATAGATCTGCACAATGTCCTGCACGCTCAACTCTGTCTTGGTGTCTTCATCAGTGGAGAAGCGTCCCGTTGCTAAAATTCGATCTCGTCTTTCCAAAAATTGCAAACTGGGCACGCCAAGGAGTGAGCTCTTCGCGCCTTCGACGGCAGCAAGTAGCACATTGCTTGTCTGCTGTAGTAGAACGTTATTGTCGCCTTCGTAAGTGCAGTTACCGTCATGGTCGTCACGAATGTCTGCAAGTCCCGCCGATCTGAGATAGCCATGACCTCCACATGCTTCACGAGCTACCTATAAAATTGAGTTAACAAATGAATAAATCATAATTGCAGAAAAGCCGTTGCCTGATGGCAAGATGAGCTGAAGGCACGTGAAAAATTATGGAACGTCCTAGGAATGTGTTATTGTCTAGCCACGAATAACGGTATTCCAGTGCATAATATTATAGTGTCCCGCTTAGTGCATGCCAGCGTGAACCAATGTGGTCATTATCTTGAGCTAGTTACCTTATCAATGCTTAGGAAACCAACATGTTTGTTGAAGGCTCCTGTGTAACAGTTAATGTCAATTAATACCTGTATGGCGTCCCGGGCTAACCATGATGCAAAGCATTTTGCCGCGCACGAAACAATATGTAATTCAACGCCTTGCTCGGCCCATTGAGAGCTTCGGTCGCCAAACAGTGTTGACATATGGAACGTGATGAAGTCTCTATTCAGAGCCAGAGCATAGTGGTCCATGATAACTGCGCCGCAGAGAAAAGGCAAGATTCGCCACTGTTGAAGCTGATACTCAAGAACAGGTTTTTCAAGGTTTCCTTCTTCGGAACCGAACTGTCTTCGTACAGCGGAGTATCTAAAGGAAAGACACAAAATAACTTTACGTAAGAAGAAACTATTCAGTTTATTAGAACTGTTTTCGTAATTGAAAATGACGAAAAGCTTATAACTAAGTTCTTCGTGCTTTGGAAGAAACCAGCATTGTCGATAATTATTAGGTAAGATGCTTTGATCACAATCAAGGACGATCTGTGTAAGAATTATATACCAGCACTCGGAATTTGAAATGAAGAATCGCAGACATCCCTGAATATCATCTGGACGAAATTAGTCTGACACCTTATTCAAAGTTTTTCTTTTGTTGCTCCGTTAGCATCTCAAGATAGATTTTATCCTAAAAAGCCAAGGATATAATACGTAAAAAATTACTAAAAGGAACTCACCTTGTCGCTATAACGACCGCTTGTACCAAGTTCGTGGTGCTTAAACCAACAATAGCAACCCTGCCCATTGACAACGAACCCAAAGTCATCCCGAACCGCTTCGATGGATCATCAACGGCAGACACGTATTGACCCTCGGGAGTGACATCGCCAGTACGGTTTAATAGGCTTTCTCTTGCGATGCGATAGCGATTAAATATCGCAAAGCCATTATCCAATCCGTTAAGGCCCAATTTAGGACCCATATCGCCAAGCGTCACCCCAGGAAATGGTGCCAGTGTGCGTCGATCTCTGACAGGGACTACGAACCCGTGCAAACCGTGACACATTTTATCGGGCGTATACAGCTGTGCAAAGACAATCGCATGCGTAGCTGTCTGGCCAAGGTTTCCTGACCACACCTTTGCTGCTTCAATATCTGGCGTGTGTAAGATAAATTCTTGTGTAGTTGGATCATAACGTGCTTCTGTTCGCATGCCACGAATGTTCGTACCGTGACTCATTTCAGTCAGTGCAAAACATCCAACAGCTTCGAACCTCATAAGGTCGGGGATAAGGTCCAAATGACGCTGAGTCCCGAGGCCACGAAGCGCCCCAATGCACATGTCAACAGCCAATACTTTTTTGAGACATAATGACCAGTCGATAGAGCCAATACAACTATTAAGGACACTGGGCAGTACGGGGTTCTCAAAAAATTCTTTTTGGGTGAAAAAGCGATATTCGAGCAAACGTTTCATCTGGAGAAACGTTGCCTTTCGCCGGTCTTGTAACGTGCCCCGATCTTGCCCAGGAAGACGGGTAAACAAAGGATCTTGCTCAAGTGTTCGATACACACGAGTTTTGAAGCGAACAATTGGTTCAGCTGAAAAAAATTTAAGATAAAATAGGACTTTCTTCTTGTCATTTATTAATGTAATCAGTAACTCTTATATTTTTATTGCTGATATAAATTAACGTTTCGAGTTCGGCACTTAATTTGTTAGACGCGCTTCAGACGGCTAGCTCTCAGCCCGAAATGAAGGGTGCCTGCGAGTTCGAACCTATATATCGTATCGAACGAAAATATAACGTTCAAAATTATTGGAGATTTAACAAAGCACTTTGCATAAAGTTATTTTGCCTACTTTTTTACTTACACTCTAGCAGCACTTTAAGCTTTTTCCACTCAAAGGATGCTTTTTTCCTGTAGTAATCCAAAGGACCCGCGGGCATCTCGCCTAAGAGTTCTTCGATCGGCAAAATCGCCCCTTCATCCCGTTCGAAACTTGACTCAAACATGATAACGAATTAAATAGGATTCTGCTGGAACACCTGCATTTCGAAAACAAGCCATGATAAGCTTAGTGGTCCACGATAAAATATGCATACGCATCGACGTAGATAATAGTGAACGAAGAGCCCTTACGATATCCGAGACCCGAGAACAAAATTTTAGGTCGAATTCAACGCTGTTATTCAACGAAACTTAATAAAGTCCAAGTTGCAAAACACACACTCAGCAGCGCTTAATCAATCGTATCGTACGCTACAAGGACAACAAACTGTTTTGAGGAGTATTCTGGCAAATTGTTAACTTCCAACCAGCCATCAGCTACCCGTTCATGTGATTCAAACGACTTGAACTTCCAAATACGTTTGCTGCTCTTTGTATGTGGTGGATATTTGGTTGACTATTTTGCACACATATAAAGAACAGCAAACATGAGCACACAGACACGGATCCTATTGCAAGTCATTAAACCATTTAAAATTGTTTTAAATATTCAGTACGTTCAATACGTCCGCAGACACGTAGTTATTTTGGTGCTGAGAAAATCTTTGAATATGGATAGTTTCCTCGAAGTGGTTACACGGTATGAAACGAGCGGGATGGGTATGTTTCCTTGTTGTATAGAAGCCGTAAACAGGTTACGGCAATATTACATATAAATATATGCACAATATTACGGCATATTTGGTCCAAGTTCTTGAACGATATGTTTATTGCATTATTTGTTATGCTTATTTGTTCATTAGTAACATTTGCAACTTTCAACAAGTTCTAACAAAGCAACGAGTACGTATAAGCCATTATAACGAGCATCTTATTTTGAGTAACACCAGTCGATCGTTATCTTCGGCCTAAAGCCTGAAAGTGAACACACACCAGATAATTGGTTCGACAGATGACTAACGCTCCTTTGTTATAATATACTGGGCACAAGAAATCGGAACATATAGAAAGTTTGTCGATGAGCTACATGTTCAGAACATGAGTAGGCACCTGTAAAACAGCTGATCTTCTCCGAAGTACCAACCGAGGCTGTATGAAGGTATAAAGGGAAACCGGAACTTCGCAGTTGACTAAAAGTTTATCATCTGTACTAGACACTCATCAGATCACCAAATCTCAATCGCCAAAGGATTACAATTTTACGAAAGTTTCTAAATCTTTACGCATGCTCAATTGCTCCTATTTTATCTAGTCAATGCTATGCTCAGTATTGCTCCATTGGAGCGATAAAGCGATTGCAGCGCCCCTAGTTTTACTGCTCAGAACGTTTCCTTTGTGAGCATGTTTCCTGCGATGACAAGCCGAACAAATAGATGTGTGATATACAGCCTACTGGCATATTTTGTCTGCGCACCGTGCGCCAAATAGGACAAGCTAAGTGAAGGATAATGTTGGGTATCATGATATGCTAATAAGTTGCAAGCCGGGTACTAACATGTATTGCAGACCAAGTTGGTAGCGCATTGGTGGAGAAGGACGTTTTCGTTCTGTATGCGTACATTTGTTTGCATATGACATAATCATGTTTATCGAACTAGGACATTATCTACCGAAATATCATGTAAATGGGCATTTCACTAATGCTGATCAGAAGGTTTAATGAGCACCGGGCTGATTTAATCAAAGATAATGAAATTCATGTTGTTAGTTTGTAAAAACAACATTATAACGATCAGTATATACAATATTGTATAGAGTAAAAAATTATTAAGACCATATGTAACGTACGGAAGACGTATGTTGGACCACAATTACGCATGCCTAAAACTTCTTTATTAAGGTACACGTTAGCTTGACTTACGCGTATATTTTTTTGTGTATATTTTTCACCTTTCACCTGTGAGTACGTACAATCTGTGTTTTTCCAAAAATTAAGGAATCATTTTGTTTGACAGCGTTTGCCTTAGACAAACATCACTGTTCGACACCATTTGCCGTATTTGGTCGTTCAGTCTTAAACGTCACATAGTGACCTATATTTTTTTCACTATATTTTAATTAAAGTATACACTGTTATCTTTTGCCATTCCGATAATAAGTTTCCCGTTGCAGTGAAAGTTTGGACTACGAGAGTCTATTTTTGAGGAATTTCGAAAGGCAATTTCAATATCACGTTAAATTTGAATAATCAGAAAAGCAATAGGAAATGCCTGGTAAGTATGGTAGATGACAGAAAGCCCCCAATTATAAGTCCTGCATTTTTATCTCGTCACTTTTTGCGATGTGGGGTCGAGCATCGTCGTATAGTAAGAGTGGCTTACCTTCGCTGTTGTGACGTTGGCTAGTGAATACCTAGTATATACTGAATATCTCCACCAACTATTGAAAGTATACTTGAGCCGTAGTCGACAAACGAAGATATATAAAGCTGCAGTGGACAATTTCTGTATTAGAGCACAAAATAGACACTTTTTATAATAAATAAATAAATAAATAGATAAATAGAGCTTTTCTAGGTCTACGTTTACTTTAAGGTGATGTCGAATCAGTTCAATTGTATCAATCATCTTAAAGGCTACTATTACCGTAGGGGGATGTACTATTTATGATAAGTCACAAATCGGTGCAAGAATGAGACACTGTTGTAACGTGACCAAGAGGTAGTTAGCATCTTCATATCTCTGTTTTTATCTTTACTCAACTTACGTGACACCCATGCGTCTAACTTTTACGTCTTGTTCATTTGAATGATGATCATACCATGGAGTTTTGACATGAGTCGGCTTCTACCACATATTTAAACTTTTTGTTATTTAACTTCGCAGGAGGTGTGTAAATTATCATTTTTATTTGTGATGCTCGTAGTTAATAACTGATATGAAAAGTGTGCGTTCTCTTACCAAAAAAGAAGTATAAAGGCTGTGTCCCCTCTAACGATGTTCTTATTTCGAACTTCTGAAGTGGAAAACGTGACTCGTTAAAGGCTGTGCATGGCTGTCATAAACAACGAGCAGAAGTCTTATCTTGGCAGTACAGTGGTAAAAAGTACGCTTGTAAGGCTTAAGGATCCGTACAAAGTGTCTTAGATTCAGAGGCACCTTTTCTTTCGTCCTGAAAAGGGCCTATCGGCAAGGCAATGCTCATCTGCGGTAGAACTGTCAGAAAAGACTCGAAACATTGATTGATTTAGATAATGCGCAAAATGCTTTTGTAGCGAAAGCAAATATATCTGCGCACATAGTCTGCTACTTGAATCCCATTGTGCTAGAATCTGCATAAATAAGCACACTGGATAAATTCTGAATTGACAAACAACGGGATCTTTTTGAAGAAGCAGAAAAATATCAGAGGATTAAATTCTTATTGCGCTTAGCGCAGTATAAGTATTGCACGAATCTCGAACCTGCCACGAATTGCAATGATTATAATAATATCAGTCAATGGGATGCACAGCAAATAACAACAACAGTGTCCTTTATTAGGAAAATTTTTAAAGTGCAGGACCGCCTTAATCTGTGTGCGTCCAACCAGATTAGAACTGAAGACCTTCTGGTCCAAATGCCCGACGCCACCGTCGACCCAATGGCGCGTTATATAGCCTTACAGGCCATTACATACAGTTACAGTAGCCTTTGACTTCGTTTTCGTGTATTCTAACCTATGTAAAATTCGATGTTCGTATTTGAGGTGCTAACATGTATCGCCCCGAACGTAAAGCGGATACAAATAAATGTTAACCCATAAAGATCCAATATATGTGGATGGGCAGTTAAATCTTAATCACCATTAACTTGTTTCGTTGTTACAAAAAAAATCATTGTTAATATAAAAGAAAATTTCGATATTCCAAATATATTCTCAATGAGCAACATCACTTTTATGCCCGTTATACTAGACCCCATCGGATACAATACATCAAAACTATTTATTTCCCTGTTTTCCATCGAAGCGTGTTCAAAGTTCGAACTTTGGAATTACATTACCGTTGTCTTGTTGGTTTTTTTTGTTGTTCTCGAAATTTCTGTACCAATAGTTAATTCGTTCGTTTATCGCGACACTCTCTAAAACATATTGATGATAAAGGTCTATTAGGCCATAGATAAATAATTGGAAACTGTGATCACAAGAACCATGAGTTTCATTCAAATGCACCGGGTGTCCGGGCACTGCAAGCAAATATCGGCGAAATGTGTTAAAAAGGCGAGGATATTTCGGAAAACGTCCTTAAATTAGGAACCGCCCGAAATATATTACAGATCTGTAAGGAACTATTAGACGATTACTAATTGTCATCAAAAATTGAACTGAAGTACTCATGGTGAATTATCTAAGTAAAAAAAAAGACAATTCTTTGCTAATCTTCCAAAAACGAGGTGGGTGGACCTCAATAAATTACTTTTAAGTATAATTCGAATGATATCGGCAAATTCCCTACTTCTAATTACGTTATCTAATTACCATACGAGAGGCAAATACTTACTGAATTAAAACAGTTTTCAAGTGTACACGCGTATCTGTTAGACCTGCGTTAAGTCTACACAAATTTGTTTCCAGCTACGAGCGCCAAATGTTTTCAGGCGAATTATTCCAGCTCAATTAATATTAAGCCGTGTCTTTTTATTACATAGGCACGTTTAAAAACATGTTTTTATTATGTTAACATGTTGTTATTATAAAATCACGTTTTGACCTTTCCACATACTGTCTGCGCAACATTTAGTCTCAAAAGGAGATCTGTCATTGTTGAAACGCTTTGAGGAGAAACTATATCTTCTCCAATTCAAGACCTGTTACCTAAAATAATGTTTGGTAGTTTCTATAGTATTCGGAAACTTCGTGACAATGATGTGGAGAAATCATAATATATGCACAACATGAGATAAGCCTCGTGAAGTAGTTTGAGTATCCACCAGTAGTTTTTAGAATAACTAAATTCAGCTATTCACGCTAGCATCTGTGTACTTAGGTGTATCAACAAAAACGCAGATAGACTAATTATTTCTGCGCCTTATTTTACAACGAGCTTGGGCTAGGCTGCAGGTAACTCTCAAGATGCCCAGCTACTTTATTTTTTGTACTTTATAATTTAAAAGGCGCATCAACCAATAGCTCTCTACATTCAACCAAAAAAACCGATGCTGATATGGTTGAAGCCCTCAATGATAAATTGTCTGTTGTGTACTGCTTAGCTTTCTTATTTGTTGAATATGTGGATGATTTCGCTTTCGACATTGGTTTCCATCTGTTATCCGAATAGGTGGTTTACAACACTCAACTTCTTTCGGGTATTTCCGCGTTTCTTCTACACGGAAGCACTAAATTTACATGCAGGACTACAGAGCAGCTATGAGGTCAATTTGTTTTCATTTCAGAAAAGAGTGGTTCCCAGACTGACTAATCAAATCAGTTACGTCATCAAGAGCGAGTCAGATCGAAATACGTATTGAGTATTTCTGTTAAAAAATGGCCTTAAAGTTCCTATTGTGTCGGATCCAACCACAGAGAAGTCGGCGGCAGCTCTCAGTGTTCAAGAAGGAGTGCGTGACAGGGGGCTAACACACTTCTGTGAACATATGCCCTTTATCGGTACGAACAAGTATCTTCATGCGAACCATTAAACCTCTTTCGATTCGAAACAGTCGAGCTAACGCTTTAACCTTAACGAATAAGACTCGATTCTTGTTCGATGTCACATCTTAGTTTTTTACGGAAGGTGTTGACATCTTTGCGCAGATCTTCCTTGAGCCCGCGTTCGATCAGCGTTGTACAGGCTATGGACCAACCGCCGTAGATCAGGAGCATAAGATCAGGAGCAGAAAATTAAACACGACCGCAGGTGCCTCGACCGACATGAAAAGCCAACCCGAGATTCAGAGCATAAAGTTTCAGAATTTAATACAGGCAGTAAGGCAAAGTTGTACACTATACCAAAAACATCGACGCCGCAAGACGTTGCTTGATACTCGTCAAGCGTTATGAGTCTTTGCCGATACGGAAAGGGGAGCATACACGTTCTATCACATATGGCTATCGAGCTTTTTGACTGAACTGAGAATAGGCATGCAATCGTGTCTGAATGGCTGGAGCACCCTTTAACCGATAAGGAACCATGTGTGTAAAACAAGGTACTCGCAGCGAGAAATGTCTGTCAAATGTCATTGACTTTTAATGTGTCAAACGTGCGCAAACACTTCCAAACGAATCCAGGTAACTACATTAAGCGTCTGATCGTGCACGAGGGTAAAAGAGGTCTGAATTTTCATCTCAAAAAGAAAGCTTGGGTAACCTCGGTCGACAGTGGACTTTGTTTGGGGGCCTATGGGTTCAATTTTTTTCAAATACACCTCAACCTTTCATGGAATGGCTTGGAGAAAGTATCTAATCCTGCTTCGTTAGCAAGAACCACAGAGTTAGCTCTTTGACGAAATGAACCTTAGTAACATACACCTCTGTTTTAAATCGAAGAAAACCCTTTCGAAATACGTAAATTCTCCTGTTAGGCAAATGCAAGAATTTGACTGAACTAATACGCTACCAGCTAAGTATTTTGCCAACAGGTACAAACCCGAACTCATTTCGGCGTTCCCATCATATTTTGAGCTTGAGAAAGTCCGTACAGTTCTGCTTTCGACGACCTTCGATAATGATGCTAATTATAGGAGAAAGTACTTTTCTATAAACTACGCAATTAACAGGATCCCTGCCGAGAAGGTTTACGCTTGAAAGATGGCCGGGCCCCTTCCCGGTCTACGGCCTTCTTTACTGCGTACGCTTGTACCCACTAATGTTTCATTAGCGACTAACACTTGGACTATATGAATATGCTTATTCTAATCATTGATGAAGTGCATTATCGTACATGTTTCATCTAAGACGGGAAATACGAAATACTGCCAAAGAATGCAGCATTATTTGGGTTTAGATCGCCCTTAGTTTGTCAGGATCCATTTAGTTGCTCTATGGTCTTATACTGCTTCAGGAATGTTAACAAAGAATACTTTTATTTAACTGAAATCTAGGGGCGCACATACTTCCCCTCAAGGAATGTCCATAGCTTCGTCCTAGAACTTCGAGGTTCGAAACCAGCAGACCGTACTTGAGCAATTCCTCCAAGGGCTGTAGAGTTCCAAAATTGATGCGAAGCGTTTTTAGGTTCTCAAAGAAGCCCAGATACAACAACTAAGAGGTTTTCCAGCAGAGCAGCCATAGGAGCGCGCGGTAGTCTTCCTTTACTTACTGCTGTCAGAAAAATGTTGCTCACATGAGTAGTCAGTGGCGGCCTTAGAAACCGATATATATATATATATATATCGATAGTTTGTACCGTATAGTTCGCAACGCGCAGTACCCCGAACAATTTCCACATCTTGGTAAAACCATTTTCGACCTATCTGACCTTAGAAACAGTGTTCTGGCCCTCCACTCACGAGTTCAAAGATGTCATATCACGTTGAAAATTAGAATGTGAATATTCACATCTCGGCTTACTCCAAGTCTACATTGAGGGTACAGAGACGGCAAAAAAAAAATTTAATGTATAAACTAAGCGCATGGAAGGCCTTTTGTGCCACTTATCACAAACAGATGCGACTTTTGATAATCTATCTTAAGCTGTTCTTAAAGGCACAATGGACAATTCGACAACGTTATAGGTTTTCTCACCAGCAGCGGCAGCAGCGAATCCTCAGCAAAAATGCAGCGTTTTCCATATAACGTATAGTGCATCATGACACTGGTGAAAGTGTAGCTAAGCGTGCGTTATATAAATGATCTTAACATGTTTTGCCATAAGCACAAACTACGGGCTCGGTCATTGAAAAACTTAATAATTTAACCCGACGGCAACGGTATATGCGCATCTGAATCTTCGTTTTCTTGCCCTCTGTATGAATTCGTAATGGAAGGATATTTGGCGTCGTGCAGCCTCGTAGCTACGTCGCTAGGTGTCGCTTTGCATCTTCGATTGGCGCTACCGCTGCCGAGAAGTTGAAATGATTTTCCTCTTGCGCGTTAGGTGGTGCTGGCGACGACGGCAGCACCGGCGGTTAGAATTCCAGGGGCCAGGATTTAAGGGGCACTTAAGCGATCGGTACGCGCGCGTAACGAGGCATAACCGGTAAAGAGATATTCTTTTCCTATAAAATGCGATAACACAGTAATTCGCTCTAACAGTACGGAAAAGTGCATAAAACCGAACACATTACCTATTATTGAAAACGACCGCAAGCGTTTACTGGCTTCCAGCCAAAGGATGTGATATCTGGTATGTGTCGTCACAGCTTACTGTCAGACGCAAATAAACCATTAGACATCCTTTTGCAGACGAAAGCGGTAAAGCCCAGGGTGAATATTGAATAAATGCACCAGACTGAATTTCTCTGCTGTGCAGAGGTGTACATGTCACCGTACTCGAACTCCGTTAGACACTGCTCTTCATCATCGTTGGCGTTCCTATGATGACGTCTTGCAAGCGGAGCACAAAATCACCCCAAAAGTCTTTGCAAATTTATGCCTAAGCAACAGCAAAGTACTGCGAAATCATGGCACGAGCTGTACTGAAATACATATTCGGTCGATGTGGTAAGATTAGAATGGCCTGGGAGTTCAAATCTGAATTCAATTGTATTGCTTTGTATGTGTAGCCGACAGTTCGCTAGCCGCTGCTGTTGTTAGGGAGCTGTTGAAAAGTGTCTCTTGCGTGAAGAAAATGACAGGCGCTGGGGAAACCATTCGTTTAACAAACAACGATTTAGAAAGTGTTCATAGTGTTTTTACAATTGGTCTTTGAAAAGACGCAGAATTTCGATCGAGTTGAGGTTAGCTAGCTAATATATTTGAGGTAAAATAGATAAGATTGAAACCATACGATGATCTAAAGTGAGAGAATATGATGGTTTTAAAATGGCGCGGTGGATCGTCGGCTCGATGGACGGGTTGTTGCAAGCACCGGGAGTTGCCGCACGGCAACTCTCCAAGAGGCGGAAATGCGGGTACCTGTATTACATATTAATTTTTAACTTGTTTTTGTATATATATATATGTATCGCTATTAGATCGTCCTGTGTTAACAGAATGATTCAAAAATTGGGTGAGAGCGCGGGTAAAGGGAAGTGATTAGCTAATGCCGTAAATTGGCCGAAGGTTTGTATTACTTACGTTACGAATGCTAATTAAACAGTTTCAAATAGAGCCTTGTGAGAAATAAAGGTCAACTGATAGGCAAGCGTCATACGGTTCAGACTACTAATGTGTTACATCACTATATAACATTAATAGATTAATTTATCCAAACTAATTAATTATTGTGCATGCAAATCTATCTACTAGCAAAACAATATAATACTCAACAACCTTGGTAATTAAGAGAACCGCTCCTTCGGCAATGAAATTTCAATTCAAAATCCAAATAGTTTTTCGCAAAATGCTAACTAACGTCAACGGTTAGTTTCCACTAACGGGACTAATACGTTATTGCCCAAGCTGGACTCATGGGTAGCATCAGCCGCTGGATGATCGACCGCGAACAACCAGGGAATTCTCTGTTCGATTGCAGTTTCTATTAGTTTAGAAACGAATGTATAGCATTCCTCATTAAAAGATACCCCTAATAATAATAATAATTAGATTTAAGTAGGCCTATAACGACTCGAGCTTAAACTAAGCACCAAGATTCAATTCTTTCTGCGTCTCTGCTTATGTCCGATATCGCCGTTAAGGGTTACGAGAAGTTAGAAAAGTTCCAAAGTACTCTTAGGGTATTGTATGCTAGTCCTTGAAATATGATGCCCAATTGTAGTTGTTTCGTTTTTGTCAACAATGGCAGCTTGGTCTGATAAAAATAAAACTTCCTTTCTCTCCCGGCAGACTCTAATTTGCTTTTGTAAGTACATAGAACGAAGTCTTTGATTTATCGGTACTAAAGGTCGACAGTTTTTTTTTTACGAAGGCTTCTAGGATTGCCAATCTTTCGATTTTTCGGACGCGATTAGCGAAACCCTAGATGCACTCGGCGAGAGAATTATATCCCGCGATAACTGTCGAAAGCCTTTGAAACGGGCAGCACATTTCAAACCTAACTACTCGAGCTAAAACGTTTTTGTAGTAAATTTGACCACTCGAAAAATTGTTGATGATTTCAATAATTTTTCTAGATGCTACTCCTGATACTATTATTGCTTTGCCGGTTGTATAAAAAATAATATTTGTAAGCTTGCGAATTATGATCAAAGAATGTGTGTACCTAATACCTTTCGTGGATCGCAAAGATCTTTAATTTTGTATCATTTTTTCAATATATCATATAGTGGCGGTTAGGTAAAATAAAATAGAGTTAAATTGCTTTAAAATTTAAAAAAATTGCAGCCAACTAAACGGTGCATACATTTGGCATTCTAGACCCAGTTGTTCATTTAACGTAATTTGTAAACAGGCGTTCGACTAAAGCGGTTACGCAGTCAGTGCGTATTCGGATGAAGTTTGTTGATAAAGAAACTTTTGCTCGCCTTGCTAATAGGAGATCTTCTGCTTGCAGTGATTAGGGTTGTAAACGAAGCTTAGGAAAGTTATATGAACGTTTAGCTCTTGGCAGTATTCAGGTTTGCAAGTAAAGAATTTAGATAACTTTTTGGAGTTGGATTTTCTGTTTGAAGATTGTCCTGAGACAGTTATAACCACTGCTAGCACAGAAGTAACGAGAGGTTACTTTAAATAAAACTAGTGTTGCCTATTTGATCTTGCCAATGAGGGATGGAAAAGGAAAACAATTATTGCCCCCCTTAACTAATAGGAGATTGCTATATTGTTAAGCATATCGCATATTTGTAATACGGCTAATTATAAATAGACAAATATGTTCGCCCGATTCACCTACTCTTAGAAGAACTCTAGACAAAATTCACATGAAAACGTTTAGTTCTAGTTTATACTTGGCATCACGGTTTTTATGCCATCGCTCAGGTCTCTTTTTACCTGTTCTGCCCACGGTGCGTACTACCGTATTGTGTTTGATAGTTGGCTAGATCGATGAAAACAGAGGACTGCTTTTCGAGGTCACGTAAGCGGTGTCAAACTTAGAAACACGTGTTGATTCAGGCTTGAAGCAACCATACCCACACCTAGTTCTGTACTAGCAAGGGCTGACCGTCTGAAATAATGCCTGACGTCAGTACCGAATGTAAAACTGAAAACATTTACTAGACATGCTAGGAAAACATCGTATACACATGTTCCAGGTTGCGGAAACACAAACTCTATACGTACGCACCAATCATTTTCGTTTGTTTTGTAATAAATTAGAATGGTGCCATTATCTGGTGTCAACTGTTATTCATTAGTTTTCGTAGATGCCAGGCCGTCCAAGGGACAAGGTAAACAAAACATCGTCACCATTGTTGCATTATAGTAGATACGTATAAAAAAAAAATGTCTACGTGTTAATAAGAGATACCTGTAGAACGCAACGAATATACAATCAGGATGAGAAAAGTTGTCTCGTATTTAAGAAATTATGGATCAAGCGGCTAAAAACGCTAGGTATATATAGTTTTATTTTGACTAAATACGGATAAGAAAGTTTTATTTTTATACTCTTTACATTTTTAGGAGACTAAAAGAAGTTCGATAAAGCGTCTAAGCTGATCGCATCTCCCACTTTAGACCTGAAGTTCCACTTGAAGTTCACTCAAATGCGCGTCCATGTGTTTACTCTAAGCGTGGCAAAATTAAATACCGAAGTATAGCGTATCAGTGTCAATGGTCAGGCTTGGCAATTAACCGAGAGCGCCGCCGGACCGTTTTTCAAAATAGCAATATGGCTGCTTCTGTTGAAAGTATGAACAGCTGGAATATGTATTCAACATTCAAGCACTTGAATAAAGAAGTTTAATCTTGATAAACCAAAATAGCATTTAGATCATTTTTGATTAGAAGATGTTGCATGTACCCTTGTAGAAAATAAACGAGAAACGCCAGTGGGAACCGGCTGCGCTATGGTTTTTTACAACATATCGCATCGGTATATTTCTATACGGAGTTAACACCTCAAAGAGTGACTGGATTGCCAAGGGCTATTTTGGCATAAAGCTTTCGAACAACCAGGACAATAGGGTCGGCGAGAATTCCCCAGATTTTGATAAGCATTAATTTTAAATTCTATGCAGGGGAAAAAATGTGGAGAAACTGACAACGTCAATATTATTCATGAGCCAGTTAATATACCTGTAACAAAATAATTTTAATTTCATCGTCTCTTGGAACGTCTTGTCTGTCACTTTGCAATTTTATATAATGCAAACGTGGACGTTAGCCTTAGTGCTTTCGCTTCTGAACTAACGAAAAAAAAAACATTTCTTATTGAATACAAGCATAATTGTTATTTTACCATATTACAAAAATTTCATCTATAAAATATTTACATGTGATACATTACAGGTTCATATAGGGATCAAATTAAACTTACTTTACCGTATAATGAAATCAAAGTTGTACTCTTCGGTTATTTACTGCCTGGGCACATGTGTACGTGAATAGATCTCGATCGAAATGACAATGTATAAAACGTACTGATCCAAATGAGATTTAACGTTCTCGTCTGTAATGTAAACATTAGTTATTATATAGTAGTTTCTACGCTGATAATTAAGAAACAGTATATAAATAAGGTTCATGTGTTGTCGAATGCTTCTTTTGAAGGGTCACAGTTTTCAAACAGAAATTAATGAGATTCTATGGTTTCACATCGATGTTGGTCCTTTTTTGTCATCAGAAAGTCGAGAATCTTCCGATAGTTGGTATCCGCAGTGTTAATACACTCACCACCAAGTCACATCTGCGTAACTAAACTGGCCGAAGCCGATCTGTTACTAAAGCAGTAGAAAAGTTATTAAGTAACAGTTGAAAACGGGTGATTCATGCAATAAAGCCTTCGATCGATATTGAATACCGAAGAAGTTCATAGTAGTAGTTAGGTTATTACTTAAAGTTAACCTTTAAAACTTGATATTACGTAGAAAATCGAAAGCCATGGGATGTAGCCTTCAAGAGAGGCTCATCGAAGAAAACTGCTGTGTTTGACCCAATTCACTGATGCAGCTCCACTTTAGGAATTGAATCAAGGAATAGCAAATGAGTTCGCTGCGCTGTTAAGACTACCCGTACATATTACGTAAACTTACATCGCATTCACCGCACATACTACTCTTATACTAAGAAATGCTTTTTTGGTAATGGGTGACCACCGACTCTGCGGGCAAATGTCACAGAATGCACAGAAACCGCAAGCTAACATCGGACGACCCAACAGAGGGTAACGTTGAGTGAACAATGTTTATTCTTGAGAGATTTTATTGCAGGGAACGGTGTAATTTTTTACGTAATTACTATACGACAACGTAGTTAATTTTGCGATATGCGCCGCATTGTCAGTTAGAGCCCAGCATTAACAGCCTTAGGCACGTGCATTGTGAGGATGTGTAACAATAAAGGAGATGCTTCTGGCTGTGACACTGCTGTTAAGACATGGGTGTCAGATATGAAAAGCAGGCCATTAAAGAAAATATCGGCCTAATGAATCCGGTGTTTCATGAGTGAGTACGGAAATCACGCGACGATTACAGCCACAATTGTTTTTCGAAGATAGCCAACCTGTCTTACTTACTAAGTATGTATCCAGCAAGGATTTTTTACCTTAAAACAAGGTATTCAGAGGATCGCCGCGATCGGGTTTTGGAGCCAAAAGTGAGCTCCTTTTACATTCTTAATGACTTCGTGAGTGCTCTAGCGGGAAACCGATTTATTTGGATAATACAATACGTCACAGTTTCGCTGAATCATTTTTGACTAATCGTCGGAATCACCGTGGATGCTGCTTGTTGGTGATTTTAAACAGGAACAGTTAGTTTTTTGATGATTTAAACTGAAAATGTTTAATTCAACATGGTTATTAAATCCAATCCTAAAAGGCTTGCCTTTTATGGTGAATAAAACACCTGTCGAAAATCTATAAAGCCGTGTAGAGATTTAATCTACTGTACTCTTGGCTGCCTATTGTGTTCATACCCTTATCCTGATGCTGTTGTATTACATAATGCGTTGTAGACATTTGGGTTTAAATTTACGCAGATGTGGCATTGTCGCTCAGACAACAGTCTGGCAGACTACGGTTCGTGTATTAATTATGGTCCCTGCGGAAGTGGCAGCAGCTACGGGCTAATATGGGCAAGCACCGCCGCGGTGGCGGGTACGCCACATCCTCGGCTTCGTTAGTAGTTTAAATTTGCGCGCTTAAATCACGGGCAAGGCACTGGTCTCCACTGGGGCTTGCACAGTGAGATGGGCTAGGATATTTTGTGAAGAGCCTAGTTTTTTCAGCAGTAATCAGAAAATAACCATTTAGATCAGTTTTTGAGAAGCTTTTGGAAGCAAAATTATTCAAAGCAGTGTACAGAGAAGGTTTCTTCTGTATCTGTAATCGGTCGACAAGTTCCACAATGCGCTAGTCGTGCCATCAGAAGGCCCAAGATTCGTAGTTTGCGCGCGCGCCAAAACGCGCCAAATAACGGAAATTTGCTACTAACGATGTAACAGGTGTGATATAGGCGCTACAGGCTGCGCAGACGAATACATAACTGTGCTGTGGCGGGGAACAATAACTGCCCGATGTCAGAGCCAGATATTCGGCTGCCTTCCGCGGTATTCAACTTCGTATCGAATCGTCCGCGTTGGCGCGCGAATTTGAGCGACAGTTCTTTTCTGTGTGTGACTGGCCTACAGCCGGTCAGTGGATAGAATGAATGATGTTCAGTTATGCCCAGGATGGGACATCGTTCGACTCCGATCAGGTTATCGGCGTTTACCTAGTTTTAATGCAGTCGACAATAATGTAAAGATTTAACTTCTGTTTTTTTCTTAATTTGCCTGGCTTGTCGTTTAAGCAGGATGTGTAAATCGCGTTTATTGAATTAGTTGGGACAAGGCACCATGGTGATGTGCTGCTAGCTGAGTTCGCAAATGCTAATGTCGGTTAGCGGTTTGCCCGCCTTGAACCATCAACGTGATTGCAACACTCACCCACAACAGACAAGTTGTACAGCATTGCTGTAGAAATGGCTATAGCCCATTTTAGCAGGGCCATTGTTGCTGACAATTAGACTGCCAAGTCTGAACCTACCGAGCACAGGCTGCCTGCTGCTGGTCCGGGGACCAACCACATGTAATGTGTGCAATCTGTACGCGCAGGCCCATGTTCGTAAGGCTGAAGGGCCGGTTGGCTGGCCTCTGGGCCTCAAACTGGCTTTCGTCTCCGGAGACGGGTTGCTGCTGCTACTGGTTGACCGTTGCCAGCGCCCGGCGCACGCTTATGGCCTGTGGCGGCGGGTCTCCACCACTAGCCCTCGCTATATCTCGGCGGTGTCTCGGCAAGACAACTTTCCCGACCTCCCTAGAAGTTTCTCTACCGATTCACTCGTGACTATCACCACTACAACTATACTGAACAGCCGCGACAGCAGTCTGCAGAGGCCTCATGTGCCAACCAAATCAGTCCTGCACCCACAGTATCGGTAAAATTGAAATGAACGCAACGGAATGGAAGTTGAACAAAAGTGAATTGTGTGTTTGCTATTGTTGAACTGTTTGGTCTAGAAGCTGATTGTCACGCTTATCGCAGGTGGAATTTCCTGTACCGTACACTTTGACGACAAAAGGACGCACGAAAGACAAAGCGAAAGGAAAAGGGAACAAGAACGAGATAGTATCTGGGAAGGTCGTGTGTGTATGTGATGAAGGCATGCCTCTGGTTATCGATGGCTTGGATACATATGATGCATATTGGCGAGCGCTCTGCTGTCGTCCGCTGTTGTAGTAGGAACGGTGGTGGCTAGAAGCATTGTTATTAGCGTTGACTACGTTGCTGTGTCTTTGATGTCTGTTAATGCCGGGTACTGATTCGAGGAGCTAACGTATGTAAACATACTTTAACAAAACACCTATCTCGACAGATGACGTTCTGGCTGATATTCCCTTCGAATATTATGTTAATTATGGCGGGCGAAAGCGCAAGACAGAATTAGATGCGGCAAAGACGCGTTGTTGTCGAGCGCTTAGCCAGGCATTGGAGGCGACCGAAAAGGGAAATTGGAGGCTGGGACATTAAAGCTCGAGTTTGTCAGAATGAGTGACACTGAGTGTATACTGATGTGATCTCGGAAACGGTCATTTGACATTATACATAGACACCTTCCCGATCATGGAAAATGGACCCTCCGACGCCTCCAACGGTGACTAAGGACCGTTTGTTGGACACTCTTATAGATATGGCTGATTTTCTCGACGGTATTTGCAGGTCAAGGCTGCGCACCGCCGATCCGAAACCCCCGACGGCACCGCCAGTGCATCTCGTTCCATCTCCGCCGCCAGCATCGCCGCCGAAGTTCGCCCTCGAACCACGCACTGCTACGGACGAATTCGAGTCGGTTAGCCAGGTATCGGAAATCGGCGATGATTCATCGGTCTTGGATATCCCCGAAGAGGAGCCCCTCGAGTTAGCTACACTTTCGTCCTCGCCGGCCGTGAAGCCTCAAAAATACCGACTTCCGTTTGGCACTACCATATTTGAGCAACCTCGGCGTGCGCCTCTCGCTCAGCTCGAACCCGAATTCTCTGACAGTGAGACCCAAACAGATTGTACCAACATGGCAAACAAAAGCGTTCAAACATCCCAGAACGACTTGGACTTTTCAAAATTCAATGCCATCGGAGGCAAGGACATGACAGTTCCCACGGACGTTGAGGGGGGAACCATCGCTGGACAGCCGTCACTCGCACAGCTTTGGAAAGGGTTGTTTTTCGCTTCATTGTCAGCGCTCTTCTTTGCGATATCTTCGGCAATTGTGAAAAACCTCAAGTATATACCTGCGGTGCAGCTAGGTGCAGTGAGATTTGTCGGTATTCTAGTTCTTTCGTTTCCAGCGGCACTAATCCGTTCCGAACCGCTCTTTGGCAGTTCTGATTCTCGATGGATGTTACTTGCTCGCGCGATCGCCGGTTCCACTAGTCTCGTTCTCCGTTTTTACGCCTTCCAGAGGATGCCGCTGGGAGAAGCTTCCACGATCATATTTTCGGTACCGATTTTCGTCACAGTCTTGGCTCGCATCTTTCTTAACGAAGTGTGTTCTATCTTTCACATATTAACGTGCGTGCTCACGCTCATTGGTATTGCGTTGATTTGTAAGCTTCCATTGTTGGTCGGAAGAGATCCGTCCAGTACCCTCGCGGTAATGGGTGAAAGCAACGAACGCCTGTACGGTATCATCGCTGCCCTATCTTCTTGTATTTTTGCAGCGTCGGTTATTATTTTGTTACGCAAACTCAAGGAGACCGATCCATACGTGATCATGTTTAACTTTGGATGGATTGCGTTTATCATCACGAGCGTAGCGACCGCAATTATAGAGCGCGCGGTTATCCTACCTAAAACTATGCTGGATGCCGGTTTACTTCTGCTTCTAGCACTTTTAAGCTTTTTCGGCCAACTTACGCTGACGTTTTCACTTCGCAGCGAAGACGCTGGTCCTGTTTCAGTGATGCGTGCAACAGTAGATATAATGCTTGTGTTTATATTTCAAGTTGCCTTCTTTCATGAGATACCTGATTTAAATACTATTTGCGGCGTCATCCTTGTAGTCAGTTGTGTGGTGTTCACTGGTTTCCGCAAATGGGCAACGAGTTTACCTGAATCCAGTAACACACGTCGCAAATTGGCCTTTTGTCTGTAATATATAGAGGTAATAATTGTTTTATCGAACGTTTAGATGGACCACGTGAACTCGTTGTACTGATTCTCGTAAACAGTATGCAATAAGAGTTCATAAAACGTTGAAGATACCACCATATGTATATAAATGGTAATTTTGCTCACGGGGACGGCTACCAGGTAGCTTTGGAGTAGGCATTTCAAGTATATAAGCATACCCCTTCAAGCAAATTTGGCAAGCCAAAAATGATTATTCTATTCACACGAGTTAGTAAGCTTCTGCAAATTAGAGACCTGAAATTACTTTACTAAGTAAACAATTGGCCAACACTTAAATTTACGAAAGATGTAAAGAATTCATATGAAAAGTATTTTGCCGATAAATATGGTGGTAAAAGGCAATCAATTTGTGAGAAGTATTGAACGAAGTACTATATTACCAAAAACAAGTCTCATGCAATTGAGTTGAGGAATACTTTTGACCAACAAGATGAACAATAATTTAAATGTTATATTCCGTGATCACTGCGTCGAATTAGACAATAAAATTTGTTTTAATGTTAAAAATAAGAGCAATTTGTATGCAGCTGTGACCTTGATCATTCCAGCTTCTTTATGTGAGCTGCAAACTGCGCTACAGTCGATTACGTGGCATTCGGATATTACTCCTGAACCCTTGCAAGGATGCTTGCTACTTTTTTTTCGAATTTTTTTGTCTTTTACGTATTACATTTTGAACTACTTTATTTAAAAACACCTCTATTGAACTCACATCGTAATGAGGAGAAGTGCTATTTCATTAGTATGTGACTTTTTAATTCTGTAACTTAAAGCCGCAAATTAGGATCGATAGAACCTGTATTGTGTAAATAGCGGAATTGCATGCTTTGAAACATCTTGCTACCGTTTTACAAAAAAAGAACTGGATGTATCCGCTCAAATTGTCAGTGTGTGACGTGGAGAACGTGGAGCCATTATCTGAATAGATTTTAGGTGAAGAACAGTTCAATGAGACTGCGAAGTCTCATTTTTACGTGGTTAACGTATAGTCATAACAACACGAAAGGTAACAGGCACATATACAGTACATAGCCAATTATAGAACCTTAGTAATTTAGACGAAGGCGAAGCAAATATAAAAACACACTGCAATTAGTAATCTTGTTCCATAAGAGTAACACATAAAAAAAATAAAAACAAAGATTATTTTATACAAAGTATAGTATTTTACTCTGCTCAGCTTCCAAATACATTGGTCGCTCCAAGACGAAAACCATTTCTGAAATTGCTAGTCTCACTTCCCAGAGCTAGAGGTGATTGAAAGAGATACTCCGCTCTCACAACACGTTGCGGTTAAACCTCTGATCTAGTGTCTACGTTCCGTTTATAAGGAACGCGAGAACAGCAGAATGATGTCGTTAGCCCTTGATTTTTTGTGGGTTTCGACCACTAGCTGCCCTTCACATAAGCTGCCAGAATAACTATTACAGGTACAAATACAAGGCGAAGGATTGTTTGACTACATACGAACAGATATATGTCGGTAGTTGGATGCTACAAGAAAATATCTGACAAGGAGATAGGTAGATTTTAACAAAAATAACGCGATCAAAATGCTCGCAGTGGCATGCACGTATTGTCATTCCACCGTATGCAAAAAACAAGTGACTGTTGATGCGAGAAAAATTTATGCAAGACTAAGTAAATTATGGTGGGCGCTGAAAATAGTCGGTACTTCTCGTTAGTATTATGATATTGCTACTGCGGTTAATTGTCTTATTCTGAGAGCGTTGTTGTAGAGTCCTGTGCGACCTCTGCCTTTTCTATTGTTGATAGTGTACAAAGCAATAATAAATTGGATAATTTGAGCTATACGAAACTGTTCGTTATCTTAAAGCATGTATTTAATATATCGTAGTACCAGAACAGAAACACCTACCCTCTAGCATTTCGAGCCATATGTGAAAGCACTCACCCGACAAATATGGAAGTGTTATCTTTTTCTCATCGATTTTTGGTCTGGTTTATTGTAGGTTTGCCACGCGCTTAGGAATACAGGCATCGTAGGTAACGTTGCCTTCGATATTAAATGGGCAACGACAGTGCTCCAGGTTCTTAATAGCCTAATAAAGAAGAAAAGGTCAGTTTTTATTACTCGTCCTTTTTCGCTAGTCGAGTTAGAACGTGTCAGAAGAGAAGCTCATAAAGCATCGTAGAAACTAGCTGTAAAATGGGGACGATGTACATTATCTAAATGTATCGATGCTATAAGGTCGATATACCAGTCAGTATTATTTATCTCTTGCTGCAGACACTGTTTTACTGCTCGTCGACTTTTAGTAGAACACGCAATAGGAACATTGAGTTAGGTAGCAGTAGAGTACTCGGACTCGGAAGTGTCCGCTGTGGTTCGCGCAAAGCGTTTTTTCTATTTGCTGTTTGCAAATGACATCTAGCCGTGGCAGTATCTTGATACAATGAGGCTCTATAACGAAGGTTGAAGCCAGTAAAAAGAAGTTTAAAATCGTTGTTGATTATGTACCTAGACGTTACAATTATAGCGCCGTAGCATCATTCTAACTCCTAATATCGCTAGTTTTAAAACAATGAGCGACTAATCATGTCACTGTAAACAACGGCTGCCATGAACACGATATATTTGATTCATATTAAATGTATTTGGAGGCAGCTGCTGACCAACGGCTGCTTCAGCAATAAGTGAAGCTCAGGCTTATATAAAAAAAAATGTGTATAAGGAACAAAGACCATTAGTGAATTAAATAGACACATAGATTTGTATGTGACGGTAAGTTTCTTTAATGCTAAAGTTCAAAACCCAATAATCGTTATATAGCGTTTGACAGATCAAATTAAATCGAGTAAATTCCATACTATTTGTTGTATCTATAATTTTATCCCGCCGTAGTCCTACAAACTACCGTTGTGACTATATTTTAACCTTTACATTTCTGGAGCTTTCTGTTTATAACATCTTGTTAACAATTAAGGAACTGAATTGCGAAATAACATAAACCTCGATAGATTATGCATCAGTTAAGCGTTCTCACTCTGATGGTCAAACTTTGTAGTATCATCAAATTCACAACACGATCTATAATCTATAATTCACAGCCATATTCAAAAAGCAGTCGAAGTTTAGGGCAACTATTGTCGAAGGTTTCATCCCCAACCGTATGTGTAACTTGCAGCACAACACGGGCTCGCGAAAAGGAAGCGTCATCTGTACACCTTTTTATAAACTTTTACAAAATGAAGTGAACCATAATTTCAGTAGGCTAAAGATGTCACTAGAAGAGCTAAGGACATCAAACGCTGAAACTTTATCGGAATATAAAAGTTCTCTAACAAATTTAATATTTTTGGTAGAGATTAGTTAATGAGATATGACGATCCACTTTTGTCTTTTGTGTGTTCTTCTAAAGTTCCCTAAGACTCCATTTATAGAATAGAGCCCTTTCTCTTTAAAACCTTTAAATTTCGGGGATATTTCGTGTAACGGCAGTGCTGACAATTTAAAGCGACGTACGAAAATCGATGACGCACTGGATGAAAGACTACCGAAACTAGCGCCTCATATATTCATCACAGCGGACGGCTGCTTATGCATATTCGTCTAATCCGTGACTTTAGAGCAGTTTAACTGAATACGTTAATTGAAACCGTGATATATCACACAACGATTCGCCCTCATGGGAAAAAAAATGTAATTCTTTGGTACGGAATGATTTCAAAGGTGTTTGCTTCTTGGCCGAACCTCCGCCTGGAGTGGCTTGTCGCTCCAGCCTCTGAAATCTTCTGGACACTATTAGGAAAGTAAAGTGACCATTCTTTGCTTCGTAGTTATGCGTACTCCGGCATTTTCATTTAATTTAATTCAAGGCATTTTTACGTATAAGCCACATATAGAACTTTGATACAAGCGCAAATCTGCGTGGACATATTACGCTTCAATAAAAAAGAAACGCGAAATCCGGCTCTCCATATCAGTTCAGTGGGTTTTTTTATTTTTTCAAGATATCTACTGCGGTCGTTAAGTTGATGTTTCAGTCGGCGACAATGGTACATATAGTCATGTAAGTGGGCATACAACAATTGCTGTACGCCCACTTAAGAGAACACCATAGGGGTTTTGTCTTTTGGGTCACAATGTCGGGTCCTTTTTATTTTCACATTTTTTTTTGCTTTCGATTCTAACTTCATACGAGATCTTGCCCTTCTAAACTTAGCTTTTGAACGTTTAGTCACTTTAGTTCATTGCCGTTACTTTCGTCTTGAAGATATACGTTCTTGTAAGGAAAATCTCCGATAAGCCCTTCGCTATATTCGAGCTTACGACTTACGATAAGGCGATTTATGGTACGAATCTTGCCACCGCATCAGCGATCATCGAGACACATGTAGGTTATCTCGGGACATCTTTTACTGCATGTCATTCGTTGCTTTATTGCTGACAAGGGAAGCTGGGGGACTGCCATAATACTGAACAACTGCATCTAGTGTCTCAACTTATACCGTGAGTATAAAGTAAAAGTACAAGATGCTCTATTTCGAAGAATTACGCAATCTACGAAATTAAATATTAAAACATTATTGATTGGCTACTTCGAAATGCATCCGCTAATGAAGTTAGCTTTTTCTAGCTGTTACCGTGGTCGACATCTCTCCATCAACTCTGTCCTTTGTTAATCTGATTGACAGAACATCAATCTTTTAATCCTATTTTGTACTAAGACTGCATCTTACGACTATTCCTACATTTATTAAATGTGAATTCGAGTTGTTTTATGGTAAAAATGTTCTTATCAATTCGTCTCTTAGCCGTCAGGTTTTTGCTGTACTTTCCGACTGTAATAAAGGATACCTCAGAATAGTTGAGTTAGTGCAAAGTAATATCCAATTTTCTCTACTCTCCATTTTCGTATGATCAAAATGGTCTACGAGTTTGCCTTATAAGACTAGTTTAATCCTTTTAAACTAAAAAAAAGTTACAAAACTTAACCGTTGTTCGGACTCTGAAGGTGCGTATGCCTCGTGGTAAGATCGCTACCTACATCAGCACTTTTCTCATTCTTTACATTGGCAAAAAGCTGCGAAGTATACACGGGATATTTGCGAGGACCATGTATCGAAGAGATATAGGCTTGCCTAATATATTCTCCTTCAAAGAAAGCTCAAGGCGCCTTTGACACATTCGGAAAGATGAGTACAGGCCCTCGTCAGACACGGCACATTCATCTGCGGTTGTTTCGGCAGCATTTGGATCTCGGTGAAAAATGGATAACATTAATGCTGCTATTTTGCGGCCAGACATGGAGGTCGACGTACTGCGATATTCAGATTAAATATTGTATTTTGAACAAAATGTCGATCGATACCGGAAAAGAGAAAAAAAAATTGATGAACGTGAAAAAATCACCGCGATAGTAGAGGCGCTCCGGGCTTACCGGCAGATCAGGTTCCCACACCATTTTTGATCACTTCGTTGTTTTAAAGATGAATGAGAGATATGTTAGGATCGCGAATAGCTAAAAGCCTAATATATAAAACGTGGAAGCTATAGTGAATTGTCTAGGTGGAAACAAAAACTTGCAATTCAACTTTTCTCTTATATGATTTAATGAATCAACTACACTCACATTAAATGTTTGTTTTTATTGACGCAGATGTTTATAGGTTCAATATTAGCAATAGCAACCTATATGCTAAACGCAATATATTTTTTGAGCATTATCTGGTTATCTTATATGTCTCATTACATGACTAGCATTCTAAAAAATGCTCAGTATTCACTTTCACGCTCCGGAACAGTAACTGCATTTAGTTTTTTCTACATTTTTTCCCACTTTTTTTTTCCTGTTTCCTGTTTGATTGTATTGGTACATTACGAAAAAGATTACTATGAGCAGGTACATTTATACCATCATATCAATTAACCATATCGGCCTCAGGAATCTCGCTGTTTACAGCAAACACTCTGGCTAAACATCTTTCGCTTTACGCCCTATACACCGTAGCCTTTTCGCTGGGCATCGACAACACTACAAATAATTATGACTACTAAACGGTCGTTTTCAGAAGCCGTTCCCTGAAACGTTCTAAATCATACATCGAACCACAGCTTCTATTAGGCGCATCTAACGGACTTTGGAAGTTAATCATTTTTTAACCAGTTGGGCTATACCAGTGATTTTTTACTGTATGTGTATTAGAGGTAAAATAAAAATTTTTTACCCACTTATCCCAACCCTCTGGCTACTGGACAGTCATATACACCTACGGTTCGTGTTCCCATATGATGTTCGATCTATGGTTTCCCAGAATAAATCGATAGCAGAATTAGTGCGCCAGTTGCTTTTTATGGCATCGAAAACTTTGCGATCATACGAACTCGAATCAGAAGGATAAACCGCTCGAAGCCAACCTTGGTTATTCCTTTGTTCAATCGAAGAAGTAACTGAGGCGTAGCGGTGAGGTCTATAGCATTATCATCAGGTAATCAGATGCCTTCCTTTAATTGTCTATGAGCCTCTTAAAGAATTCGAGATAGCGGGCCGCATTGTTGTTTCATTTTTGGTAAGTATCTTATCGTAACAGATGCCCCCTGATGTACATTGCAGGTATTATCATGACAAACTTACAGTTTATTATTTCGAGCGCAATACCTTTCCTGTTGGCGGTTGATATTGAATCATGTCCCGTCTATGACGGCTGTATGTTCCAAAAGGTTTTTAGTTGATTAACGTCCCGCCAAGTGCAGGTGGAACATTTTATATGGAATTCCAACTGGCTTTTTTCAATTTCCAGTTTTTGGCTATAGTTCTGTTACATGTTAAGATGTGAAATGCCAGTGTTGGTCAACATAGCCCTTCGACTTCAAATTTCGTTTCTATAACAAGTCTCATCAATTGGATACATTTTTGTTCCTCGGGGCTCGACAACTAGTCACCTCCTAGGTAGTCTTCAATTTTTGTGCTTAATAAATTTGCACCATCCACGTACTGCATCTCACTAAAGGCCTCTTTACCTCATGTGTTCACCAATCTGCGATGAAGTTCCTTTTCAGCTGTAACCTTTGAGGAACAAGACCTTAACCTTGATTTTTGAAACTAAAAGGTGTTTTCCTTCTGAACTCAACTAAGTAAACTCAACTGGCTTTCACTCACAAGCTTCTAGAAGACTGGAATATCTACTAGTCAAATTTCGTCTGCTAGTGGCGCATATTCCAAAAGTTTTTCGTATTCTCTTGTAACAGCATAACAGTACACTGCGTTTCAAGCGAATGAGCTTTTGAAATGTTTTAGATCACAGTTTTATATTTCGCACTAAGAGTCTATTATAAATGATGAGAAAAGCAGTTTCTATCGTCGATAGTGCATACATTTTACGCAATTTTTTAAACAGATTAGTATGTTTGAAAATAACAGAACGCTACAGCCAACTAGCTTTTTTTAGTTAAGTTACGATTTACGAAGGCTGATCACAGTACACTTTAGGAGCCTGAGGAGTTAGTATTCCGAGAGCTTTTATGGTTTTGATTACGGAGTTCTCATAGATGAGGCACACAAAACGACTTCATTTTTAATCTTTACTTGTGGTCTTTACTAAACGTTTCGCAAAAGTCCCAATAATCCCGATACCCATTTTTACATAAGTTTAGACGGTTGAAATGAGTTACGCCATTTGTTGTTATTGATTTTTAACCATATGACTACAGACCATTGGTAAGCAATCCTTTCTACAAGCAGCATGTGTATCCAAGACTAATGAACGACATCTGTAGAGATCTATTTTTTCTACATTTGAATAAACCACGGAAGATTGTACTCTAAAAGGTAAGCTCGAAAACTTCCGGAGACTACCTTAGAGCATGTTCATACATTAAGCCTGATAACAATGACAAAATAAGGTCTTCTGATCATGATCTGGAACGATTACCCTATTGGTTAAGAATTGATGAAAATAGATTTGGTTTACATTGTAAAAACTGTTTTTCAACGTTTTAGGCAAAATAATACTGAATGAGAGCCATAAGAGATCTGACAAATGGCATTTTTCACCAACACAAATTATTTACCTCAGAAGTACCCTACGAATACTACACTGTGATATAAACTTTGAAACGCTTTGCTTGAAATAAAACTTGAATGAAAAGCTTGAAAAAAAAAGAAACACTCTGAAAATTATAGAGACAAGACCAGCTTAAAAGGGCGTCACCCATATGGCCTCACGTTCGGTGCGTTTCGCCTCGGCCGTTAGCCATATCTTCAGAAAACTGACCGCTATCGTAAAGTACGTTCGGTTTCGAACCTAGATAATTCCATGTGTTCTTGAGTGTGCAAATACGTTATTACTGCAAGATCACAAAAAAATCAAATAAACTAACCCAGACTGACAAATTGTTTTATGTGAGGATAAATTATTTGAAGGAAAGAAGGTCGATCACTTCTGATGAATTCAACTGATCTAACTGATCGTGTTTCACGTCGAGGGCAGTCAGACCGCACTGAGCATTATCCAACAGCTTGTTGCTCTATTTCTACACACTTTATTTCTATCAGTAAATTTCTATATTTAAGACAAAGCTTTGCGTGACAGTCTTGTTTTTTCCTAATTTTACTTCTATGTGCCTAGGATAGATATTTTTAAAAAAGGTAATTTTGTGTTGTGTATGTATTGATAATCATCTATCATGATATGGGTGACATGCGTTATTTTTACAAAGCAAACAGCTGTCTTTGGTTTTCCAACATGATCTAACATTCGCAATTTGTAAATTCATTAGCGGCACGATGTGTTGAATCTAATATTTGCTCTTTAATTCTAAATGATTTCTTGGACACTAAAGTAAAAACAGAAAAAAAGTTAATAGATTAACAAATAGATTAACAGCATGTTACTTTAATTAAAATATGCGACAATTTCATCATCAAAATAACATGGCACGATAGCGGTACATGAGCAGTAGGTTGCTAATACCTAGATATGATAGAGAAAATGTTGCAATTGAGAAAAAAATAAGATATTAAACGATGCCAACCTTAAATTTAGACTGATTCCAAAAACGGCTGGTAACGAAACTGATTTTTTCATGGTAAGCCTTACAGTTATTGAGTTCAGTCGGCAATCCGATTAGAAGTAAAACTATCACTGCCTAAGCTCTGTACTAAACTATCTTACGCCCGTTACGTATTTTCGTATTAGCTAGGTATCAATGGCCTTTGTCTAGATTGTCTGGATACTTTTCACAGTTTAAAAGACCAAATCATCTTTGCGAAAAGACCTAAATTAAGGAGAAATTTGTCCTGGCCTACAAACGTTGTTGTGCCGCTACGGTTTACTTTTATGTATTTTTCTTTAAGAACAATTTTAACATGCATACAATAGTGTTTAATTATAAAATCGATTTTTTAAAATCGGAATTTTTTTCGCAAAGACGCTTTCCACTTACATTAATACTAATAATTGGAATAATAATTCTAAAATTTAAGCTTTATTGATATTAAATTATGTACTCGATGTAATCGGAAAAATTATTCACTGACACCCTGAACATATTTTGTAACATGTTCAGGGTGTCAGGCTATACACTTCGGATGAAAATCTGTAATTCCAAACAGATCAACTCGCAGCGCTGAGCTGAACGTACAGCGTAGATTCAGCATGTTGAAATCAGCATCAAAAGCAATAGCTAACGAGTGCTATGAACGATGCTACTACATAACACAGTGAAAGACAATAATTCAGTATTAATAAAAATAAATATTCTAGTATCTATCTTAATACCCATGCGCTGCGAGAGCGGTCCCCTGACCAAGATCGGCGTGACCATAACCGTATTCGTGAGGAACTTGGATGGATCCCGAGGGAATGGACATTCCATAGTGTTTGTTGTAATAAGGAGCGAATGCGGGCTCGCTGGTCTTCGTGCCGGGCTCGTTTGTCTTAACATTAGCCCTGAAGCCCAGCTTGTCGGCCTGGTATTCAACGCTGCGGTGCCTTCCGTCAATCTCGCCAAGGTAGTACGACCCTACGATTTGGCCGTGCGAGCCCTTCTCTTGCCGTCCTCTCACATTTCCATAGTCGTCCTTAATATCATATTTGAACTCGTAATTGCCATAATCATCCTGTTGTCGAGTGGCAACTGATTCACCTCCGAGATGGCCTTTGTAATGGCCTCCGTACTGGAAATGCCCACCCGCAAAAGCGGTCGAGAGAATGCACGCGGCGATCACGACGAACTGCAATTGAAATTGTCGTACAGTTAAATCGCATTGAATATAAGACGATATAAGTAGGTACGTTGGAACAATCAAAGTAAGGCAAGGTCACATCTAACTCAATTTTAAGGCTTCCCTCCAAATTAGAAGTTCTACGTGTAGTCGTATTACACATCGGCGAGGTATCCTTACTCCCTTTATTCACGTCTACTTACTGGGAACATCGTTAAAACTTGCTTATTCTCAAATGAACTGCGTTTTCAACACTATTAGGAAGGAAATATATACCCGTTAAGTAGACCGTAGAAAATCGGGTAAGGACTTCCACAAGCGGTAAAAGCGATTACTGATAAGCTGAGCGAAACATGGGGCTAACACCAATGGCAGGTGAAGCAAAAGCGACCCCAATTGCCGTTGCCAAAGTGAATCACACCGCGCGGGATTCTGTAAGGATTGCGACCACCTGATTAGGCTTGTCAGCAGCAATAGGCGCCAGTGCTCTAGCATCGCTACCCGTAGCGTGTGACAATTATGCTGACAAAAACAGAAAAATCGCATTAAGCACTGCAAAAACAATAGGTGTGTCCACTATATTTCGCTTTCGGGTCTAGCGGCGGGGGGTGTGAACGCAAGACATTTCGCCCACTATCTCAGCCGAACTATGAACTATTCGATAACCAATTATAGCGTTCGACTGGAAACAAATAAATGCCATCGCACAAAGAAGCTGACAGCGGTCAGTCGTATTTCAACTCTATTTAAAAAAAAAAAAAAAAACTTAAGCAAGGTCGGAATCTCCAATAAAAAAAAAGTTACTCGTATGAATACGCTACCAGTCCAGTCGGCCCTTTATCTATCTGTCTGTTTATCTATCTATCTGTCTATCTATTTTAATACAAAAGTGTGTACATGTATGAGAATGTGCGTCGTGATGGCGTTATGAACACGGCCCGGTGATATTAACGAGCTGGAGTGTAGGAAGAACGCCTCATTTGAAATAATATAGTCAAAAATTGGCCCTGTCTATGTGCACCAGTATTGTAATCACACGAAAGGGCATATTTTTACGTGAACGATGTAGAGAGCAACCGTATAAACTTTAAAACACAACATTGGGTATAGAAAGTACAGCCTCGTTATGTAAATAACTGCGCAGAAAAAAACTGTGTGTATTGTTATTGTTGCGGGCCTTACGGGTTTGGCTAAAAAAGATCGTTTGTTTGTTGTTTTTATTATTCTCGGTTTTATTCAATTGTATTTTCTCCTATTTTCGTTGGTTTACTTATTTTCAAAGCAAGCACTCAAGCCCTCGACATATAGTGAAATAAACAAAAAAAAATGCAGGATACAAGACAGATAAACCCGAAAGCTATTTTTTTTTTGCCTTTGGGACGCTCAACAGAAACTGTTACCAATTCAAAGGTAGCACACGCATGGGAATACAATTAACGAAATCAACTTCTTGCTCGAAAAATTATTTCGCACTTTTTCAAATCCACGAGAGATATAACTTACAGTTGATGTAAGATCAAGATAAGTTTCCCTTTAGTGTGAGGTTGAAAATGAGTGAAGAGGTGAAACATGGATTTGCAAAAAGAACGATGGGCTTCTGAGAAAGGTCGTCCCTAGAGATATAATTACAAGAATAGAGTTATCCTCAATACGTTTTGGTGGAAAAATAAAATTCTATTTAACGGGAGCACAATTATTTGTGATAGCTGATCGCAAATGGAAGTCCCATCTTTTGTCGCAAGCAGACGGCTGATAGTTTTTCTAACTACTTAGTAACTTCAAGAGAACTCAAACATGGCCAAGCTGGACCCGATTAGGAATTAGAGTGTAATTAGTTAGCATAGAATTTTTCAGTCGAATTTATAATAATCGATGGCACAAAACAGTAATAGTGACCATAAGGCCGTTTATAAGGTATCTGCTGAAAAATCCTTAGTCAAAGAATACTGCAGATCATCTAAGACAAATACAGATATTCGCAAGAAGCGTAAACCACAATTGTTAGCTCGAATTGTATCTCCCCAAATATCCAAGTTCGCCTTTGTCCGCTTGACACTTAAGCAACCGAACGTTACTTCAGACACGTCCTGCTGGATTTATCGGGATTTTTATTCAACACACCCATGAAGCGGCATAATAACAATATGCCAAAGTAACTTTCGCCAATCTTGTCAAGTGCCAGCTATTACAAGAGGTAAAAAATGGTGCAAACAAAAAGCAAAATATCTATACAGTCAAGTAACCTTAACAGACCGATGGCAATAGATAGTATTGTTTAAAAGTATACAGCTTTTAATTATATTTATTCGTGTCTAAGCTTCACTCGCTGCCGTCATGGCATACACGGAACGCGTTAAAAGCGACGTTCACGATGGAAAAAAGGCATGACTTTTATTTTGGTGATTTACAATTAAATGCAATTACATCAGCTATAGATATACTTCTGTTCAGTAATATATTACATTTTTCGCATTTATTTTGCCCCAGTGTTGTATATTTGCAGAACATATGTATCATTAAAAGACGCGTAATTACTTAAATGCACTAGACAAAAAATATATCGTATACTACTTACTTGGGAATGAGTAAGTTACAGCTTTCTTTTGCAATTCTAGAACGCATTTTGTGACCTCCTCATATTCTAGACCTTGGATCGGCAGAATGTCCGTAATACTGGTCATTACAAATGGAATAATGTGCAATAGAACATTACGCAATGGACATTAGCAAATCCCGGCTATATATTATTTTTTAAGCGCGTTTCTAAGAGCCTTCTGATTGGACATTAAGTGGCCAGATTCAGAAAACAGCGGAACGCTGCTCGGTCCGTAGCTCCGTCGCTATGGCAACGATAGCCACTGTCGCTACTCCATGGATAAACATCACGAAAACTCTTACACGACCCTATATCGCATTACCCCAAAGGGGAAGACTGACTTCCGCTCCTATTCATATGACGACGGCATTGTATAAGCTAATTTTGTTATTATTGTTGAGATCGGAGCGGTCTACGAACGATTTTGCCGAGGTGTTGGCTTCAGATCTACGGTCGTCGCATCGACGTAGAGTGACAGAGAACGTATACAGTGCCATATATAAAAAAGGCGTAAATCTATATGATTGTGTAAGTAGATATTTATAAAGTTAACTATATTGCTCAAATACCCCCAATTAGTAGTGGTAGTGCTATAGTGTGATTTGGGTTGTCCATATGTGAAGTTTCATATTAGCTTGAGACGAGAACACCGAATTTGTAAAGGTACCTAAATGGGGTACACCCGAGCCGTCTACGAACTACTGAGAGATGGGCAATACGAGGACGCCGTCGCCTTCCTTGGAGATCAACTCCAGCTCAATCCAAGTTCGAGACCCGCATTGTCTCTACTGGCATATGCGCATTACCGGTAAGTTTGCCCATCAAACAACAGTGAACAGCCCGGAGCTGATTGATGCTTTCTAGTTAATCAGCTCGGTGCATAAAACACCGGCTGGTAAACGGCGTCGCAGCAACTGGTGCAACTAAATAATCATTGCTTGCAGTTTACAGGATTATGTGAATGCAGCAAATTGTTACGAGCAGCTTGTCCTTCTTAGTACTAATGAGCAAACGTCACAGCGGTATCGTCTTCACTATGCAAATGCGCTTTATCAAGCCAGTCTGTTCGATGAAGCGTACAAAGTTACTCTGCAGATGGATGATATTCCAGAACTGAAGGTAAATAGGTGCTACTAGGTACGCTAGATGGGAAATTCGTGCCTGTGGCTCGTCTCAATCGGAGCCGTAGTCCGGCACACGGAACATTCGCTGGCTAGCTATTGATAAATACAGAGCAAAATCGATTTTGGCCGTGAGCTATTTCATTGTGCCCTTAGAGAAACCCATAAAAGCGCTTTTTAGCGATCTTCTAGAGTACGCCCACTGTATCTGTGAACACTGATCAGCGCATGTACGTTCGCGCCTTGCTTTTATGTTTAATGCTTAAAATCCAGCTGTCATTACACAAGCTTCGAGCGGCTATAGAGTATGCACGGGACGATGTCTCCTCGGCCGCCAAGGAACTTCAAGCAGCTGAAGATCACGGCGATCCTGACGTGCAGGTGCGGGCCTTCCTAATTTCTACCTCATTATTGAATAATTATAAATAGCTCGTTAGTTAAGAATCGTGTAACATGGATGCAGTGTGCGAAGCAGTCAACCGCGCCAGGCTGTGCTTGTTCAAAGGACATTTGAGTAGTCACATTAGCGGAGGAAGCAGATGTCCTCTATTGACAAATTCCAATTAACCCTGTTATTCGGCGTCATCCGCAGGTAAATCATGCATGCATTCTGTACAAAGAAAATAAGTTCGAGGAAGCGCGTCAGAAATTTCAAACCGCAATGCAGGCTCAAGGCTATAGTGCGCAACTTTGTTACGCGGCGGCGCTGTGTTGCTACAGGCTAAAGCTATACCAACAGGTAGCACTCTTCAAATCGATGGATAAGTTCTATACGAAACAATAGGCGTTAGCCGTTTGTGGAGGTGCGAAATAAAGAAAAGCATCAAATACAAAACGATATGATCACGGTACATAACCGCACTTGAATCGCCGAGGGCAGTTGTTCGTTTATTTGTTAATTTGAACTGTTAAAAAAATAGTAATAACATCTAATCCCAACCTATTGTTAATTTAGGCACTAAAACATATTGCTGATATAATTGAACGAGGGATTCGAGAACATCCCGAACTCTCTGTGGGAATGGCTACCGAGGGAATCGAGGTTCACGTTCGAAATTCAGCTGTGTTACGCGACACCGCCCTTGTTGAGGCCTTCAATCTAAAGGCAGCCATAGAGTTTCAGCTGAACAATATCGCTGATGCTAAGGAGGCTCTAACAGATATGCCGCCCCGCGCCCAACAGGACATCGATGCTGTTAGTTTGCACAATCAGGCACTTATACAGGTACAACTTGAGTTTTTTTCGTTGCAATTAATGCACGATTTTACCTCATTCAATTACTAGCACGACCGCAAACCTTACATCAGGAGATACACGTCTGCAATAGCTATGCTGGATTATTTTGAGTTCATTACAGCTGGAGTCATCTCCGTCGTCTTCCTTCGACAAGCTGCATTTCCTCGTTGAACAAGGTAGCGGTCCAGCGGAGGCTTTCGCCAATCTAGTTCTCGTGTGTTGTCGTTTTGAGCATTACGACCTAGCCGCAGATGTTCTCGCTGAGCACGCAGATATCGCTCACCTCATGCTTGCACCTCATATCCAGGTACAAGCTCTCCCCAGACAGCGCTAAAACAGACAAACCCTGTTACGTGATAATCGCTCATTCGCGTCAGCTCGTTGATATCGCAGAAACTTAGTAACTTTCGAATTGAGGACGGGTAACTAGGTGAAGTTATTTCGAACAGGCGGTCGAAGCACTGCTGGCTAGCCGAGCGTGTTAGTTCTTCGTCTCATACTTTGCAGAGTGCACCTAGAAATACGCATGTCGTTCTAATCTGTCGAAAAAAAAAGTATTAACAGCGCCTTCTTGACCTTATAGCAAAGTAACGTTATCTCTATCAAACACTATATTCATGGGCACATTTACCTTGTACGTAGGCATTCTTGGAAGCAGTTATCGCATGTCAAACTTCGCCAGATGAGGCTTACCAAAAACTCGATGACATGGGCCAGAAACATATTGAAGCCCTTAGAAGGTAACGTCATAAACTCTGTTTGAAACAATCCGGTCTTTACATATTTAGTTATTCGCTTCACGTATATCTCGATATAGATGTTTACTCGACGTAGACTTGAAATTAGAAGATTGTCTGTCTTGTATACGTACGCCTTACCTTTCCAAATGTGCCGAGATATATATATATATATATATATATATGCGCTATTTTGCAGACTGAAAAAGTCGAACGCGGATGCGGAGTATGATGAAGAATTGAAACGTTATATGCCTGTTTTAATGGCTCAAGCAAAAATTTACTGGGATCTTGAGAACTACGTACAGGTGGAAAAACTGTTTAAAAAATCACTTGAATTTTGCGGGTAAGTGTGGCTTGCGACAAAATACAATAGGGTCATTACACATAACCTGGGTGTGCAGAAGTTGAGCGACAGGAAAAAATATGGATTTCATCAAAAATAAATGCGTTGATTTTTATAAACGGTCTGATTGAACGATGTCTCTCCTTGCAGCGACCAGCAGTCCTGGAAAACGAATGCAGCCCATGTATTGTTTATGCAAGGCGACCGCTTTAAGGAGGCGTCTACGTTCTATGAATCGCTTCTCAAGAACAGTTCGAATGTTCTCGACGTACCCGCAGTGGTTCTAGCAAATCTCTGCGTCTGCTACATTATGACAAGTCGAAACGAAGAGGTCTTGCGTTCTTCCTTGCTCCTATTAAACATTTAACCTCATCTATTTTATATACGTATACGACACGTAATAGATCACGTTGAAGAACCTCTTTTAGAATATAGTCAATATTTTTTTTTGACTAAATATTTTCAGAAAAAAAAACTCCAATGAATACCTCAGCCTCTGTTTCGATGCCGCTCACCTTAAAATATTCGTATAATTTGAGTTTGTGCTAAGAATAAATTTTTCGCTAATTGTAGTTGGAAAATTCAGCGATCATATTGCGTCTTGTTGGGTGCTTAAAGGACCATTCTTTTTCGGTCAGCATGGAACCCATGGCAAAAGATCGCTAGGTTTTCATTTCATAAATGGTTCTTCCTAGGGAGCCTTTTAGATCTTTATAACTAAAATGGAAACCACGCATGTCAGTTTCGCCTTTAGACCTACCTTAGGTTTGTGCGGGAGGTCGCCGCGCGGCTAGGTAGCCTACTAGTGCTAACATTGTAAATTTCGCACCACGATTACTGCTGTCATAGCCTATCATATTCATTGTATGGTGCTCATTTCATAATCTAGGATCACAGGTGGAAAAGAATGAGGGCCTTAGGGTTAAATTCGTTCTAATTCAAATGTTTCCTCTATATTTAGCCTTCGACATGTTGGGCAAATGTGTTTATAATACTGTTATTACCAATGATGGCGTATACACCGCTGCGAAAAACAGTGCTGGATAAAAATTCGGTCACGACTGTTAAGACACAAAGATATTGACATGGTATATTGTGAATTTTATAATTGACGATATAATAATTTGTAGTATGATGTCAATTGCTTAAAAAAGCTTCGTGAAACAAACGGCAAAAACTTGTTGCAGTTACTTATGCCGATGGCAAATCTGTTATCTGAATTAGTACTTGTGACTCTGCTTTCACGTTATGCCCTTTCCGATTTTTTGCAGGCCGAAGAGCTAATGCGACGGATCGAACAGGCCGAAGAACAACTGGCCTACACGAAACCTAACGAAAAAGTCTACCATCTTTGCATTGTGAACCTTGTCATCGGAACGCTCTACTGTGCGAAGGTAGTACTTCACATCCACTATTAGCACTCTAAAGCTTTATTCAGACACAAGTATTTTCTATCAATCAATATAACCCTTAAGATAACAATTGTGTAATTATCTTTCCTACTCTTGACTCTCAGGGCAACTACGATTTCGGAGTGTCTCGTATCATCAAAAGCATTGAACCGGTCTCCAATAAACTTTCACCCGACACCTGGTTTTACGTCAAACGATGCTTTATTTCTTTAATTGAGAATCTCGCTAAAAAGGTTAATAAATAAAAGATTGATCGAGTTCCTCTCTCTCTCTCTCTCTCTCTCTCTCTCTCTCTCTCTCTCTATATATATATA